CTGCCAACAACACACAGACTGGCAGCAAATCTGTGCAGCCTGGTGGAAAACGTGTTACTGTGCTACATAGAATCTGAATTTTAGCAATCACGTAATGGTATCATTTATCATAATGGTTTGGGGCGTCCAACTACGTTTGACTATACAGGTAAATGTCAACATATCCTATGGTAACGTAGAGTACAGTGTTTATCACGCACCCAAACTCCTTTCTACCCCAGCTCACCTCGCCTTGCCCCTCGTTTCCCCCCCTGCCAGCGTCTCAGTGATCAGGTGCACAGCAAACAGAGTCGCTGGGCTGTGAAATGCCAGCTCATTTAGACACGTCGCATGCCTCCACCGTAACAAACACACACACATCGGCGCACACCTTTTATTGTCTTATTTTTCCTTCATCTCGTCATCTCTCATCTGTTATCTCCGCTTGTGTAGAGATTGAGTCAAGCGTGTGCAAATGTACTGAAATGACAGTGGAATGAAAGATCTATGAAGAGTTTCACTAATCCAGAACAGAAGTGTGTGTGTGTGTGTGTGTGTGTGTGTGTGTGTGTGTAGGTGTGTGCTCTCTGCTCTCCTTCATATGTCTCTGACCACATCTACATCTTTAATGTCTGTGACTGAATAATGCATGAACCCCTGAGCTGGAAGACTCTCTCACACACACACACACACACACACACACACACACTAACACACTCACATACACTCTCACAAACAAACAGAAAACACCTAATTTGCGGCTTCCATTTGCACAAATCTCATAATGTACAAGCAATAACGGAGGTGTCGTGCACGGTCCTGCACAGCTCCATCTTCACCCAACTCCAGCTGCTGTAACCCAGACCAGATCTCCTTGGGTTGAACCAAGAGAACAAAGCGGGCTTCAAAGTCGAGGCGCCTCCAACCACAAAGGCATCTCCACCACCATGTTTCCTGTTTAGATGACGCTAACTTCCTGTTGCAGTGAACACAAAAAGCTTTGATCCCGTCCGTACATGCCTGCGTGAACGCAGATGACCTTCTCGCCCCACCATACCTTCCTGTGCGCCTCCCTGAAGCAGTCATGCATGCTTCATTGTTATAATTTGACTTTCAAATAGCTGCACCCATGTCGCCTTCTCCACATGCCCACACACACTTTTACAACAGCCTCTTACGGAGATGAAAAATTTGAAGCTGAGGTCCAGGTTGTTTCTACAGCAACTGTGCATAATGATGCCTTGACCTGACCATCAGGCTTCTCTGTGAAGAGCCTTGAAGTAATATCATTGCTCTCTCACTGGCTCTCCACCTTTTGCTAGGTTTTGCTCTCTTGGTCCCGTATCGTTCTCTCCTCTGCCCTCTTTACAGAGTCATGATATTTCACATCTGGCACACATGCCCACTCCGAGGGGGGAGGTTTTCAATGGACTGGTGCACTGACAAAGGGTGCTTCCACTTTTCAATTCTTATGAAGACTGTTTCATCTGTGGCAATCAATTCAATTTCATTCCTAACTTCTCTCTGGAATGTGTTTGGAACTCACAAGTATACTGAAGTCAAGGAAACCCATAAAGAAACTCTGATAGTTTAATCTTATCATCAATAGCGTTGTTAGTAATCTATATTTCTGCCCTGATATGAACCAATTCTAGTTTATCACAGCATGGCAAGAGGTATTCAGAGGAAGGCACTTTTGCGGCGGCCTGATAACAGCCCACAGTGAGCCATCAGAGAGAGAGAGAGAGAGGAAATAAATGAAAGGAGGGACAGAGCGCTGGGCCGCGCGCACGGTGCCTTGCGCGTTCCCGTTTTTCTGCTGCACACATACAGCCGGTGCGAAGCGAGAGAGAGAGAGAGAGAGACAGAGAGAGAGGGAAAGAGAGAGAGAGAGACGGGGGGGGGGCTGTTATTACTAGTGACAGAAAACGCTAGCGAGCGCATAGAAGTCTGGATAGCAGCTGATGCGACAAGGTAGGGGAGACAAACACCGTCACAAACAACACCGCCGCGTCCGGTGGGGGGGGGGGGGGGGGGGGCGCCAATAAGCCCTGATATTCTTTTTTTTTGAAGAGAAAGAACCCTGTGGAGCAAGGAGCTCTCTAAGGGGCCCACAAAAAAAAGGCGGCTGCCCGGTGAGCGCTTGGCCCTTGAACATTAACGGGGTGTGTCCAACGACGCGGTTTATTCATGTGAATCCAACTTTAAACACGCAATGCTGTTGTTCATAGCTGGGATGAGCTTTGGTTGGCCATAACATCGTGCCATTTCCCCCATTCCAATGTGGTCTTTTCAGTGGTTTTAAGATAATTTAGCTCTCTATCCCGCACAAAACTATGCAGATGAAGTTAAATGACAATATAAAAGTACAGGTTCCAAGTTTCGGATGAGATCATGCCTTATATTGTATTGGAAGCAAGTGCGTGTTTTTATCAACATCAGTAATGAAAAAATTATCAATCGATCAATGCCTGTCCTTGGACAGTAATACAATTAGCAAGACATGCACACGCTCGCCATTGCACTCACTCACTCATTCAAGCAGACAAAGACACACACACACACACACACACACACACACACACACACACACACACACAAACAAATTAAAAGATTTGTGCACATAAAATGTGCACGCATACATTTAGAAGCAAAACGTTTTGGCTCAGGAGCATTTAAAAAACAAGAAGATGTGCATGTTGCACAAACACATGCATGATGTTCTTTCCTGAACTAGAGCCCTTGGTGTATTCCTGGATAGATAGATGGATAAAACCAAGCAGGAGTAGCGTTACTTTAATATCCAAAGATAAGGGCAGGCACATGTCCTATATGTACCTTGTTACAGGCTTTTCTTCCATTTGACCTTCTCTTATTGTAAGAGTGTGAACCCAGCGGCTGAGGTGGACCCATGTGAGTAACCGCAGGTCCTACTGTTGAGCAGGATTTGGATTATGCAAATGAGGTGTCGGGACCGAATGCTAGAGAGGAAATGAGACTGGCCGTGTGTTCTGTAAGATAATTGGAACTCTTGGAGACCAAATTGACAGAGAGAGAGAGAGCGCTTGGTGATTGTGTTCAAACAGAGGTCTATAAATACCCCTCTAGTGGCACCGCAAGGATAATTGACCTTACCTATTCCAAAGAGAACGAAAAAGCCAGACGGATAGATAGAAGGATACCTGGGAGGGAGGGACGAGGTAATGAGAAAGCAAAGATGAAAGAGTGAAGTGCATAGCGGGGGACTGAAAGCTCTCTGTGCGTTAACAGTTGTGTTTTAACCTTGAGGCTTTTGGCATCAGAGATCGAGGTGGTGCACATTATGTGCTCTGTGTGTATGTGCGAGCCTGTCATTTCCTGTTTATTGATTTGCCCCAGATTCTCAGTGTGTCACTGCGTGATTTTGCATTCTTGCACACAGGACTTCATCAACACTGATACAAACATTTTGGAAGCAGTGACAATACGTCTTGGCAAGCTCATTTATCTGTTCTTTGTTTTATACTAATTACACCATGTTTCCAATTGTGCACTGGCCCATTATTTAATTTTTCTCCTTGATGGCACATATAGTAAAACCAAGCTGTCATGTTAATTGTACTTAGATAAATAACCTATATATCCATGTATTTCCAAGGTGTAGCTGGATGAACATGCTTGATTACATCCTAGAAAGTAACTATTTGCTGTTTCTCTTTGTAAGTGCAAACATGGCGTAGTTTTTGAGTCACTATATCCTAATGTGTGATTTACGCATCACAAAACTAGCACAGGTTGCACCACAGTGCTTAGTTCCAAAATGGATTTTTTTTTTAGATCTTTTATTATTTAATATTTATGCCAATAACCAAAATCTAACTCAAATATATTAAGTTATTTTGGTCTCACTGTGAATTGTATGAATACAACCAAGCCTGAAGCATATTTATTCATGTATGCCTAAACAGAGTCATCCCTCCACAGAGTAATGCAGGAACGACCCCCAGAACAAAGAAAATCGGTCAGCACATTTGCACTTCTGTTCCCCTCATCTGCAAGTAAATGGGTTTTTTGAATGGTTTTGTTGTAAGATGCCCGAAATACAGTTTGTGGTTCACGCTAGCTGGAGAGAACCCTACTTTCAAGCATTTAAGAGTAAAAGTGTCAGAAGGGGGAGGGGGTGCTAACAAGGGGCTATTAGAACAACGTGGTGTAGTTTGTTGATAGCCTAAACACAGTTTTTCACTTTTGACAAATCCATTTACTCTTCATAAATCAAAATCGTAAAAAGTGGGGTTCATGGATGAAGATTTTATGACTGGAAAAGCGCGGTTTGTCTTAAGATGATGTTCAAGCCCTTTTTTCCCAGACATGGAAAACAACATGTCGCACCCTTTCCTCGTCTTTCTGGAAGTCACGTCTTCATGAAATTTGTCTACAGAAACCTGTTTACCCTGATATTCTGTGACAGAGTTACAAATGTTTCCTGTAGCAGCATGTAGATTACTACTGTCCCCTTTAGTTAAGGTATTCCTTCCATTCCAATAGAGTAACAATTTAGCAATCACTAGCTAGAAGGCAAAATAAATACAAATGCATTATGAAAACACCTGGGTAACCAAATCCTGTTGTTGACCTCAAGACTAAATTATAATGTGATTGACCGTCATCATGGTAGTTTGTGTGTTTTAGCTTGGGATCAAACTCTTTACTTGCACACATAGATATTAGTAATAATATCACATAAACACAGTTGTCCAGCACAGAAATGCAAATCTCATGTTCCGGTACTCTCTGCTAAACTTTGCTTCACTGAGATTACATGTGCATGTACTTCACACTTTGGCTTTCATCTTTCAGCAAGCGCCATAAGCGGGTCTCCTGCTCTAGATAGGATCTTGGCCTCTGATTTACTGTGCGTCCCGTTAGGATTGTCTGGAGAGGCCCCGGGGCTCTCTTTGCTGCCATCTCCTCCGTTCTTCAGACATTCTGTTCCCCTTTCTGGTTCCCTGGCTTACTCACAGCGCTTCCACCAAGCAAACATGTACGCCGGGGAGGAAGACGTGTTCAACAGAGTACGGTAATACACAATGAATGGTGTGTGATAAAGAGCATGTTGCTCTTAATTGTGCAGTGTAGGAGTAAATTGTTTTGGCCTGCCTCATTAGAGAAGAATACACCTTATCACCCTCTACTATCTCTCGCTCGCTCTCTCGCTCTCTCTCTGTTGTTTGTGCCGTGGAGGGTGAATGATAGGGAAGGTACAGAGCTTCAGGCCTTTTCCACTTCAAAGCACCTCAGTGAATATTCGTGTGTGTTTGGCCGTGCATGCGACAAGCTTGAGCAAGACGAGCGGAGCCAGTACAATGAAACTCGCTCATATGATGGCCTCCTGTTTGGATGTTAGTGTTAGGCCGCAATGAGCCAGGCGAGGTCAGGAAGTCATTAGGGCACAATCAGTGGCAATGACGTGTAAAAATCTCAAGTAAAGGTGAGAAAAGTGGTTGTCAGAGGCAACGTGTTATCTATAGACTTGTTTCTATAATAAAATCGGAATGCACTCAAGCTCATTGGGATGCTAGCCAACAGAATAAACACACTTGTGTATATGTGTGTGTTTGTGCACATTCGAGAGAGAGAGAGAGTTATAACTGCAAGGGCGAGAGAGGAAAAGAGGTGGAACCGGATAGAGATAAACTGAAAAGTTTCTATTTTTAGTCTGCACTCAGGAGGCCATTAGTTCTAATGTTGAATTTGGGGATTTCTGTGTTTTTTGGAAAGTGGACGGTTGGTTGGTTGGTTGCACGGTGAGGGCATTCATCCAGTTATTTGATGCTTTGCAGTGCTGACAGATCCTGGCGCTACAGTCAATGTCGCGGTGATAAGTTCATTCGCTTGTGCGTGTGGGTGTGTGTTTTTGTGTATGTACGCCTGTGTGTCCCTACATGCTTCCGTTGATTCCATTAAGGAATCGGACCGCAAGCACTTTTGTTGTCTTGACTGGTCTAAAGGGCTTGGCCCCCATAATGCAATGTTCTCATTATTCAGTCTCAATGGTCCGCAGTGCTGGAGGGAGAAAGAAGCAAAAGCACCTCTCTATTTGGCTTCATGCTTCCTAACCTTTCATCTTGTGGGGTTTCTTCGTATTGTGATGTTCAAGCAGGCTACTCTGCTCAATTCAAAATGTAAGAATCACTCAACCACTGTTGAATTCTCCATTAACGCAACGTAACCGACATTTTAGAAGTGAAAGACGAAGAGGGAGGAGTGGATGAGGAACGGAGAGTCGGCGTTGAAGATGCACGTTCACACAGAAATGAAGGACAGGTGGGAGGAATTAGAAAGAGTTGACCTTGTCCACCGGTATCACAAGGAAGTGATACCGGGAGGAGACGTGCTGACGGGTCATTTCCTGCTTTTTCAAAAATAACCGAGTTCTTGTGGCGAACGGTTTCAAATTGAACTAGACACACAGACACGAACACAATTCAACTGAATTGACTAAAAGCAAATATAATAACGTAATTACATCTGGCTGAGTTAAGTCACCTGTATTGGATCTTTTATTTGTGTGCCTTTTACTGTTTTACTGTTTTTTGCTGGTTTGTTGGTTTACTTTTGCTTGTATTGTTTATTGCTGCTGATTATTTTTATCCTGTAAAGCACTTTGGCTGGCCATTGGCCTTTAAAAGTGCTATATAAATAAAATTGACATTGATACAGGAAACATCAATGCATCTCACAACAAGCTTTCAGGTGTACAAACGTACTTAAGCTTCCTGGAACAAAGTGTTCAGCAAAACTGCAATGATGTACTGCAGGAAGTCAATCTGCTGCCACATCGCGACCAGCGTTGAGCCTTTCTTACATTCACACGACCTGTCAACGGGGAAAACCTTCCAGACTTAAACCAAACGTTTATACCAAAATGGCAAAGAACCACACAGCCAACTGTTGTACTACAACTTCCTAAAACTTACCTTACAACTCACTAAGGACTCACGCACTCATCCTTTAACCCACACAAACTCCCTCAATCACTTGTGGCCTCGCAAATATTGCAGCCTTGAACTTGGTTCTGTTCCAGCACAGCAGCTGCCGCTGTAGATTTTGGATGTGTGTACCTTACAATAGTCGATTGAATGAATTTTGTTTTGAAACAAAGGCCTTTTCTAAAGCATTTAGCTGCATTATTCTTTTTCATCGCATCATAAGCTGTAAATGACTGTTTCTACGGCCCCCAAGCGTCGCTGGCCCCCTCTCTGCTGTCTTCCTCATCCTTCTGCTTGCTAAATTGTATGTAGAAGAAACATAACAAAGTGGTACAATAAATCTACTCTCTACTTTAAAGATAATTGTGTCCATAGAAATTTGCACCAAAGAAAAATTAAGCTTCGGGAAACGTCCTCCACTCACTGCTGTTCAGGCAACAGGTTGGAATATCACGCTTTAATTTGACATTCTATTGGAGGAGATTGGTAGAACAATGTGCGAATGTTCAATACGGAGCTGTTGGCCACACTGTGGGATTTACGCTGATAATTCTTCTCCCTCCTTCCTCTTTGTTTCTATTTGATCCGGCATTTAGATCTGAATGAGTCACACACACGCAGGCAAACACTCACACACGTGCGTGCAGATCAGGTAATCATTGTGACAGAATGAGAGAGAAACGCTGTGTCTGGTTTGAAAGAATGCCGCAGAGAAGGAACTGAGAGTAATGAGGTGACTGAACTCAGACGGCGTCAAGCGGCACACTGACTGACTATTTCTTAATCTCCTTTACGTTTGCATCACGAGCTAACACCCCCCCCCGGGTGTGTCTTCTCCTCGTCCTTCTATTAAAACCAGGCAACTCAACGGGAATATGTTTGAGTCATTTGGATTTTAGAGAGGAAGGTTTTCAAAAAGAATAAATTTGCTGATCATTTTGAAAAAGAGTAAAACATTTTTGACATTGCGTTGGTTTCTTTTCATGCTCTTTAAGTATTTCATTTAACTACTCCAATATATCGCGTCACACCTGGAAGAGTCGACATTTCTCCACAGCGGTCACAGTTCAGCCTTCAATCAAACGACTTTATATGTAAAGGTCACTCTGTAATGGCAGTTTGTTAAAGTTGATAAATTCACTAAACAATGCAAAACATTACAAACTTTAAACAGGTATTTTTTTCATGTCAATCACATCACATGCAAATAAATGTTCAGGTTTTTCTGCTCTGAAAACTATTTCATTGGCTTACCATCATTAAGATGGCCCCATTTTAATGATCTGAAAGCCTCGTGCCTTCACTTAACCTTATTTGTTATTTTCTCTAACGCCAGTCACAGTCAGTCACCGACAATTAACTTCAGATTGAATTCTCACCACCTAAACCAAAGCCCTTAGACGTTTCTATTTCTTTCGCGTCTCTAAGCTACTCAGCCCGCTCTGTGTGACATCCTCTCTCTCTATAGTTCCCCGTATGGCACACAAACAAAACACACCTGAGACGACGTTACGGTATTTTTAAGCAGTAGGTGCAGACACAAACACCCTTTTTATGCATGCAGCTGCTGCCATCACATCAACATTATCTCGGCTCCATAAAAGCCTACTCCGTGTTTTCAGACCACAGTGTGTGTTTTCCTAAATTTCCGTCAATTTATTTCATCATGCAAAGAAAGACCAACTTAATCCAAATGAATGCATTGTTCTCTCTCTCTCTCTCTCTCTCTGTAATGCTTTCTCCTAAAGGAAGTGGAGGTTTGTATGGCTGCTTATAGTCTATGGTATTTTTCATGTATAATTCTTCCTACATTAAGTTTTTGATCAGTAAATGTATTTTTTAAATTTTTTTTTACACTTCTTCAGGAGCCCGGAACATGGACTCCATCCAAGCCCTTCGATCAAGGTGGGTGTTCGAGCCACGAGTGGCTGCGCTGTTGGCTTAAAACATTAAGAAGGACATAAATCCCTGACACCTCCTCCACAACAAAAAAATATCTTTAAATCAAGTTTTATTTTTTGATTATAAAGTCCCACTTATTTTCATTAAGTCATAGCTAATTTGATAAATGATGCTACTGTAGAGCCACCTATTGGTAAAAGGCCATCGAAGGTTGCTCAGAGTCAGTATGTGCTCAGCATCATTGGGTCGCAATTGCACTAACTACTGAAAAGGCAGGGCAGTTTATAGTCATGGGTCATGCAAGTATAAGAGAACAACATATCAAAAAAAGAATTACACTTAGTCAAGATCTCCTAGATATGTTACATGAAGACTAAATTAAAACATCACTTCTTGCTCACTGGGCTTGATTTAAAACCAATTAAATGTGTTACTCCCTCATCAGAATTCTCAGCAGTAGGAAAAGGACAGTGAACATCTCATGTACCTCTTTTGTGAAAACATTCATTACCCATTTGCATTCACGCTAAATAACCCATTGTTTGCTTAAGGATTGTGTGTTATTTCCAAGCTATAGCTCCAACTTTCCAAAAATCTGTTTATTTATGTAATCACAGTAAAAAAAATGAGTTACTGGTGGTCATGCACATACACTCAGGCACATCAGGACATGAACGACCTCACTCTCGCTTATCAGTGCATCCCCAAAGACACACACACAGACACACGCACACACACACACACACACTCGAGGAAACAAAAGCATTAGATGCTGCGTTGGAGGATGCTGGCAGGATAATCTGCTAAAGCTTCCCAGGGATTACACTAAGGTTCTTTAGAGCAGAAGGTCGTTCACAGGGGACTGTTCTGAGATCAGCAGAGCACCTTAGTTCCTGCGTCATATTTGCACAATTGAGGCCCTTAAAGCGGTCAGAAAACGGCAAGTTTGTCTTACTCGGTACCAGCTAATATAGCGACCTCAGCCTCAGCCCTCAGATCTAAAATCAGCTCTCAAAGCCAGATTTGGCACTTCACCGTGAGATCTGATACCAGATCAGTTTAGGATATCAGTAATAGCGCACAAGACTGACGCTCGGTGCAGGTTGTGAGGTCAGAAGTAGCCTATTAACAGTTCCATCTGTTTTTAGTCTTAAGGATACTTAATGGTATTATGGCTTTTGGTTCAGCGTGAGAGAGACATTGCCAGTGTGTGAAGAGGTTAGAATTGTCACATCCACACACACACACATGGAGATCTTTAACACCTATCCCCACAGCGTGGATAAGTAGAAATTAAAAACAAGTACAAGGTTTAGCTAAGAAGCATGGATCTATTTCTGTTCATGCTCGTGAGTTTTATTCGTCTTTCTTGAAAGCCCTTTCAATAGAAAGGCGGACACAGATAATACATACAAATGGAGACAATTCTCATTCCATATCCCTGTTTCATGTTTTATAGGACTTGATCCAGCCAAAGACCCCTGTCTTAAGATCAAGTGCAGTCGCCACAAAGTGTGCGTGTCCGAGGATTATAAGACTGCCACTTGTGTCAGCCAGAGGAGAGTGAGGTAAGAACGCACACAAACACTCTTACACACTTGCTCTTTTAAAATGTCCTGCCGTCTCAGAGCGGTCCTCTGAAGTGACATTCAGACGTGCCAGTGATGAAACAAGAACGAGATTTAGCAAATCTCTATTACTTCCCATCTCTTTTCTCCTCCCTGTTTTGTTTGTTTTTCTGCTCACTTATCCACACGGCAGGATGAGCAACGACACCAGAGAGGTGGCCGGCTTTTCTAGCTTTCGCACTGGTTGCCCCGCTCTCTCGTGGGTTGTTGTACGACATTACTGCTTAGTCCAATTACCCCGAGCACTGGCACCGCCTTACAACGGACACAAAGTCCTGCCAAGTGATATCAATGGGCTTTGTACGTGTGTGTGTGTGTGTGTGTGTGTGTGTGTGTGTGTGTGTGTGTGTGTGTGTGTGTGTCCGTCTGCAGACTGGACGGAGGACCGTAACGCCATACTGACCTCCTTTCCCATTCTCACCAGAAACACAATTACCACTGTGGCAGAAAATAAGAAAATAATCACACACAAATCCCAAATCGCTGTCTCATTTTGGAAATTGATGTAGGAATAAGAAAATACACCACGAATGAAAAATGCTTAGAAAACCATGTTTGGGATGAAGCAGGGAATATAAAGGTGCCGATGATGCAGCGTTTGGAGTAATACAGCCGGTTGTAACTTGAGTATTTTAAATGTCCTCTTTAGTTTTAAAGATTCCAGCGTGTACCAGAGTCCAGGGTCAAAGTGCAAACCCTGCCCTGTGGTTCACCCCTCTCCCGTCTGCGGAACTGACGGCCACTCCTACTCCACCAAGGTAACAGCGGCCACAACCTCTATCACATAAAGGCCGTGTGAGCAGGTGCTTTTTTTCATTTCCTCTGGATGAGACCCACATCCTGATCTCACTTCCTCTCCCGTCCCGTCCCATCTGTCTCATTCCCGCTCCCGGCTCAGTGTAAGTTGGACTACCAGGCGTGCATCACGGGAAAGAAGATCGCTGTGAAGTGTTCTGGCATGTGTCCTTGCCCCTCCCAGCCCGAGCAGAGCTCCGCAGAGAAGAAAGGTACACGGTTCTGCACACATGACTGCACACCGAAGGCTGGGAGACTTAGCTGGAGAAACAGTAAATTGTCCTCAATTAAAAAGTCTTTCATGGCATTCAAAGCCCTCTTTTTACGGCCCCTTCTTGACAAGCTGAACCCTCCCTCCCTGATGAAGTGACACAGAATCCCTGCAAGTTCCAGGGACTTCTCCCTCACGCAACGGACAGTAAAGCGCCACTTGATCACCATTAATTACCCGTGTTGCTGTCGCTCCCCAGTGTGCAGCGAGTCGGACCTGAAGGAGGTGGTGAATCGTCTGAGGGACTGGTTTCGGGTGCTGTATGAGAATGGCAACCACAAGAGAGTCAAGATCCAGAAGCCAGAGAAGAACAGTGAGTTATGATCCATAAACGAAGCAGAGAAACCAGAAAATACATCATAGAGGGGATAAAACACAGATTTGTGTCTAGACGAAATTCCCCCTTTATGTATTACATTCAGTAACCCACATTTCTCTCTATTTTTAACACTTTTCCTCGCAGAGTTCGAGGTTGGCACGTCCCCTATTTGTAAGGACCCTGTGGGCTGGATGTTCCCCCGCCTGGACACAAACTTTGACGTCCAGCTGGACCAATCGGAGATCAAGAGCCTCTACCTGGACAGGAACGAGCCGTGCTCCGACGCCTTCTTCAAATCCTGCGATACGCACATGGACAAAGTCATAACCAGCTCAGAGTGGTGCACATGCTTCCAGAGGTACACAGGTACGGTATCGCCATGCACTGACATGCAACACCTGGAGACATCTAAAATCCGTTCACACCTGGATATGTTATCCCTCTTTACTCTCTGTGGCTTGTGCTGTAAGACATTAGAAGCAAGCTCTGATTTCATGTCAACCTTTTCCTAGTAATAAGTAATAAGAAACTCACAAGAGGGAAAAAACAAGTAAAGTGTCCATGCAAAGAGGCACTACTATCAATATGCACAGGTTTCAAAATGTAGCTTAACCATTGCCTCTTCATGCCTTGTTGCACAGCTGAATAAAAACGACACAAAGGAATTCAAATTCACTCAAACAGATGCATCCACGAGGAAAGCAGACTCGTGCAGTTTGCTACCAGCCTCCCATGTCTCTCCCTTTCAGATTCCCCGTGTAAAGAAGAGCTGTCCAGTATCAACAAAAAGCAAGCGGGGAAGAAAGTGATTGGTGAGACGCTTGAGCATGCACACACTGAAACCCCCCCCCCCACACAAAACAGTGTGTTGCAAGGATTTACATTACATTACATTACATGTCATTTAGCTGACGCTTTTATCCAAAGCGACGTACAATAAGTGCATTCAACCATAGGGTACAAACTCAGGAGAACAAGAAACAAGAAAGTGCAATTTCCTCAAATAAGCGAATTTACAATTTGCTATAGATGAGTGACGTCACAAGTACAATTTAAGTGCTACGATTTACTGTGTGTCTTCCGTGTGTCTTTGGCTCGCAGGTCAGTACCTGCCATCCTGTGATGAGGAAGGTTACTACAGGTCCCACCAGTGCCACAGCAGCAGCGGCCAGTGTTGGTGTGTAGATCGCTATGGCAACGAGGACGCCAGCTCTCGCACGCATGGCCCTGCAAACTGCGGTAGGCCAATAGTGTGTCATGTGTCAGTGTAAGACAACAAAGAGATGCAGTGTTATTTGCAGTTGATGCATCAAGTAGGACGTAATTAATCAATGTGTGTTAATAACTACTTTCCCTTTTTTGTGTTTTTATGTATTTGGAACATAAAACTGTTAGAGGAATAGATCTAGGTTTGAGATAGTAGTATTCGCTTGTCTGTCAACAGTTATATGATGACGAGAATTCAATTTGAAGCAAAAGCAGTGGAAACAGGCAGCCTGGCTCTCTGCAAAGGTTACAAAATAACACCTCTAAAGCTCCCTAACGGACAATTTCTTCTCTTCTTCTAAATTATTTTTTAATTGGGTTCATGCACTTCTAGGCCGGGTCACGGTGTCCTTGAGGTAGCCGCACTCAATGGTTTTATGTTGAGCTAACTGGCTATTATTGACCGTGCGTACGTGTCTACTACCTATTTTCCCAAAACAGCTCTCTTTAATTTTGAGATTTCGTACGTTTCTCCAGGCGTGATTCTGGAGTCTTCCGGCGACCTCGGCAGCGGAGACTCGCTGTTCAGCGACGATGACGAAGATTCCTTCGTTCTCAACGACCAGGCCGGGATGGACGACGAGGACGATGAAGACGAGGACGACGACGACGACAACGACGAGTATTTGTCGTAATTTCAAAAACAGAAAAGAAAAAAAAAAGAAAAAAGAGAAAACTGTTTGTTTGGTCAAACTGCACGTTTCTAGGTGACTCCCCAAGCAGATAATCGTACTAACAGCCTACGGACTACTCTCTGTGTGTTGTTTGTTCATAAGTAAAAAAAAAAAAAAAAAATCCTGGGAAACGTTTATGATTTCTCTTCCTCTCTTAAGTATAAAATGTGATTGGTTGACACCAGCCAATCAGAGAACACGATCCTGTGTTTGGGATTCGGTCATCTGTGCAAAGACCTCTCACCTGCTTTGGACAGTCCATGTCTTATAGTGTGTTGTGTCCTTGTGCAGCACTCTGATGCCTAAGTCTGTTGATGCCTGCGGCGCAATGTTAAAGAGATTTCCCCTCCTCCTCCTCCTCCTCCTCCACCACCTCCTCCTCCTCCTCCTCCTCTTCCTCCCATCCCCCGCCGTCCTTTACTCCTTATCAAATGTTCCTGTGTATAGGTGGGATGTCGATGATGTAGATATATTGCACTCTTTAGGTTTCTTTTGATCTTGATTTGTAATCGTGACTGTAACTATGTGGAAAAACAAGATAAGAGTTAGACATGCTTCATTAGGAGAATTAAGGCAACAACAAAAAAAAGAAAAAAGAAAACACAGCGCGAGTTGGGATAACAATCAGAACCGACATGCTAGCTGTTTTCACAGAGACACAAATCAAGTCAGATCATCTCAAAGACTCAGCAACAAGGAAAAACAAATTACTGCTTGGCCGGTGGTGATGGGGTGTTATTGTTATCTATTTTTCTAATCCATTGTTGGTTGAAGACAGATGATGAAACAGATTTGTTGTAGCATGTCTAATACTGCGTGATGTCGTCTCAGTCTGTAGAACCAGAGGCCAAACCTTTGTGGAACTCAAAACAAAATGGAGCTTGAGGGAAGAAAAAACGCCCCTCAAGCGTGTACAGATGAAACTACACTTGCATAGTTAAATAAAGTGCTTGAGACACGAGTCTGTGTGAGAAAAATTTAAAAAACAAACTCTCCTTCAATACTTCAGTGGGCTAAAAGGGAACTTCGTCGGGCCTCAGAAGAGGAGTTTATGTTTTTGCAAGTTCACGTTATCTGAGCACACTTGTTTAACTGAACGACTCTCTTGCAAAGGGATTAAAACGGCGTAGAGCCCTGCAGACCTCCTGAAACCGTCTGGCTGGGGATGAAGGGTAAAGGTGTGCCTTTGACCGGTGGGGACAGACGGCGGGGACTTTGGGAGAAGCATGCTTTATGGACGGACGGAAGCTCGCTGGGACTCAGCCGTCCGTTCCCTGATACCATTTGGGTTTTGATATGGCTTGTGTTTTGGGTCTCTCTCTTGCAATGGTGTAACATAGGCCATATTTCAGATCTTTTGATTTGATCCATAGGATAGCTAGAATGTAGAAAAGCACACATACATTTAGCAGTCGAGGAGTAAAGAACACAACCAGATTCTGCTGGATTTTAAAAGATGTTTTTATATTAGCACACCGGCTAGAGGAAGCTTTGGTTTAGAGAGCTTTATACGAAAAGAGGGATGATTATCTTACAGTGTTTTGCTCTTACTTTGTTTTAAAAGCTTGATTTGTACCCGATCTGCTCTAACTACTTAAAGTGTATATCTGTCAGGGCTGAGAACTGAAACTGATCCCAGATTTGTGTATTCTTGACAAGTCGATAGATTAGTTAGATTAGCTCCTATGTTCATTTTCAATCCATAATCTGCCTTCGGGCTTCATTCTGAATAAAAACATCCATTGAAATTCCACGTTAAGACCTGCAAAGTGCCATCTAACTGTCCAGTAATTTAGTTTTTTGCTCCCTTCATTGCTTTTAACTTGGAATTTCAACTCACTCTAAGAAACGGAAACGGTTTTAGTCTCAAAGTGTACTGTTTCATGAGCGCGATGACATGCAAATCATTTTGATGACCTCAGACACTGTAGCCACTCTCAACCAATCACACACCGTCATCACAGCTCTGTTATGTTTTACGGTTATGATACAGATGCATTTTTTACAGTGTATGTATGATTTGCTGAAATAAAAGCTATATTGACCAATATTTGTTTGACTGAGTGCTATTTGGAGGACGGACACGGAGCAACTGTTTTTTCCCTGTTTCTGTTCCGTTATTCTTTTGTTTCTGCATTTATCTGCTTACATTCAGTAAAAGATATGCACAGTCTGCGTCTCCGCTATACATGTTTAGTACGCTTAGTTATGAGAATACAGGAACTGGGAAAAAAAGAAGTGCCACAAGTTTCCCTCGTATTTAAGGGAGATACAATGAAATGACACACCTGCTATTACAGGGAAGTTAACAGCATTATTACATGACGCTTTTAAAAAGAAAGAGAAGGCCGTGAGTTAGTAGGGACAAACTGTTTGTAAGCACATTTTTTTGTAGAGGAGCATTACTGCATTATTTATGTGAAGAAGAGGTGAATATTTTATAAGCCACCGTCATACCCACACGCATACACAAAGCACACGTAACACACGCAGAGCAAAACACCAAGGGAATCAATACAGGAGAAAAGGCACATTCATTGGTCCGGACACATTTCTTGCCTGTTTGCGGTGTAAGCGGGACGCAGGAAGACACTGGGTAAATATCCACTGTTCTTTTCACACACTTTTCCTCCGTCTTTGTGCGCAGACCACATAAATGTAGACGGATACCATCTCTGTGGCAGATTTCCACACATTGGCCCGCCGTTGGAGGCCGTCCAACAGTAAAAAGTGTGTGGGGAGACGCGATGACTGAGAGCTGATGGGAAAAGCCTCAAATTGCAGGAAGCACTTATGATGTTCGGAAATGAGGTTTCTTGGATAAGCAATAGCCGGTGACGCAGGTTGTTTTGATCACTTCCACGCTCTCATCAACGAGGTATTGTTGCTGTAGGTGAGTGCTGAGGTGTGATCGCCCACTGTGTTTGTGTTATTGTATGTAATATATCGATATGTATAAAGTGGCAGCAGAGACATTTCAGTGGGGTTTTAGTGGCTGGTTTTGAGCTTATTATCAATACGATCATCTTCCTCACCAAAAGGAAAGTTTTTCTCAAAACATTTTCCCTGATCTTTCCCTTTGTGTACATATTCTTTTTGCTTTCAGATGCATTTTCATACCATGTACTGGTATATCAATATATTTAAAAAATATATATACTATTGTTAGCCTATTTGCATCATATCACCCGTCACAACTTAATTAATAAATTAAAAATAAATGACTTTTTTTCTTCTTCATCCTCTGAGCAGTAGTTCAAGCCTATAAATCTAAAGAGGTTTGCAGCAGCACTCTGAGCCCATTTTTGTGTAGTAAATGTAAGCACCACTGAAAAGGCCTGAGCTGTGCTTCCAGGCCTAAGCTGCTGAGGGGGCAGTACGGCCCACCTTAATGGTGAAGTCACTGTTTGGTCAATACAACCTGACACTAACACACACACACACACACACACACACACTTAGCGGGCTCTTGTTACAGCGCCTGAGTCAGCGCATACAATAGACATCCAGATAGGATGGGGCGGAACAGGGTTATTGGCCGCAAAGTATTTACCAGTTGAGTATTCAGAGTATTGGCGTTGCTTTAAGAAGCAAATCATTATTGGAGAACACTAGAGAATCATGCAGTATCTCTACTGTAAGGTTAACAAATAAAAGGCAGAATATGTTGAAATAGAGACTGAAAATTATATGTAAATATGAAGTGCAAAGAAATATTAATTTCTGAGAAAATACAAAAAACATACAAACTTATTATAGATCCAAATCATGATGAAAATCTCATTTAGGGAATCAGGTTACACTGCTCACTGCTGAGGCGGCCTCCGGCAGAACGTGCCTTCCTGCCTTTCTATCCAATGACAAAGGGCTTCCGGGAATGTTTAATTCTGTAGTAATGCCAGAATCACTTAGCTGTGACTCACAAGCAGCCATCGAGCTGCTTTCCACCGGATTCCTGCGTTTCATGCAGGCAGACGGCAGTGTGCGGCGAGAGCTTTCGCATCAATAACTTCCAACTGCTTAGTGGCTTAATTCCTCCCTGGTCAATGCTGGCCAGGAAGGAATCCAGAGGGGAGGAAGCAGTAATGTGTACACCGTGGATACACTCATGGGGAAGCCGATTGGTGGCAGGTCAGTCCACCTCCATGGTGATCACAAACAATGTAACCGCAGTGGTTACTGTGTAGACTGGAATGGGAAGAAAATACGTTATTTTGGAAGGTTTGATTTTTTTTTTAAGATGCAGATTAATGGTTTAATGCTTCTGCCTCTGTACATACAGCTCACGTTTAAATATGTTTGAAAATATATGAGATGCCTACAATAACTCCAGTGTATATATGGAGGCTATTTGGTTCTACAATGCAAAAACAGTGTCCCAGAGGGTACCAACTACTTCATTTAGGTATCACCGTTTCTACATCTAATCAGAATTGGGTCATAGGATGTCAAATAACAGCCAAAAGGTGCTGGGGAAATAAAATCACAACATCATTTATCCTCCTTAAGTGGATTCTTAAACTTGTCATTTCTGGTTTGAGGTTGAAATGTTATGTTGCACTCATTGTTTTTGAAGGGTATGACATTTAAATGGCTTCTCATTGGATGTATAATTTGTTTACCAGGGTTTGCTGCCCTCAGGTGGTTAATGTCAGATCCCACGGCTTCATCCTGTGAGTCTTTCTCAAGTAATGTTTGCTGTGTGAGATGCATTTCTTTTGCATTAGGATTTTAGGATTTGTTTAAACAGTTGACGTCTCTTCAGGAACTCGGGCAGTTTTGGACCGTTGTTTCGATTGAAAAGTCCTTACTATGAACTTAAACTATTCTGATGCAACATAAGTGCTTTTGCATGCTTTTATCCATAAGTGCTGCACATCAACTTCAGCTGACCCTGAGATTTATAGATGGCTTAACAGTGATATCCTCAATGGTAGTAGAACATCCTTCGCTCTAACAAATCATCACGATTAACCTTTCACTTCCTATCACACACCTGTATTATTTACAGTTTTTAAACAATTGCAAAGATTCAAGAACCTGTACTTGTGTTACAATAATACAGACCACTGACGTATTGACCAGTTATGATGAACCATTAGCGCACGGTATGCTTTAAAGAATTATATTCTAAAAGACACTTTTAGAAGAAAAAGGCACATTTTTCCACATTAGACATTCAAATCTAAAAGCCTTTTTGTTTTTAACCACTGACAGTAAAAGACCACTCTCAATTGTCCATCCCTCCAAAGAGAATGCACCTGAGAAAATACGTTTATAACAGAATATATAGATATATATCTATAGGTATATTTATATATTGAGAGAGAGAGAGAGAAAGAGGGAAACACAGAGAGAACTGTATTTGTAACATGCTATTAATAGAGTAAATTCGACTGTTTAAGTAATTAGACCTGATAATTATAATGACATGCTTATGTGAATAATATTTTAGTTCTAGTTTCAGTCTATGTTTACATCGTGCTATAAATTACTCAAGATACGTGTTATCATGTCGTCTTTAGGACATGTCCAGTTATGGGGAGAGCTACCCATTTTAAAGGGTTAGAGTTATTTTAGTTTAGTTAGTTTCTTTGTTTTCATGTGTAAGATTTTGACAGACGTCCCTATTTCACGAGACATTCTGTTACATATGGAGGGTTTTTATGTTAAAATACATCAAACATCCAAATATATGTTTTAATTTATTTGAGTATAAAATTTGACAAGTAAAAAAACAACTTGAACAACTTTTGCCAAAACACTGTTAGCCATTCATTAAAAAATGTACAAGAAACCACTCAAACTATAGCTAACACTAAACATGTAACAAAGATGACCAAACATGTTGAACCCTGTCAAAACCATGTCAAAAATGGAATATGAGAGAAATTCACATCATTAGTAATATGACATCCACATCCAAATTAGCCATATTACAGATATTAGTGTCAAATTAATTAATTAATTAATTAATTAAAATCACTCTTATCTCTTATTCCCCCCAAAAATTCCGCCAGGTACATTTAAACTCTGGGTAGTATCAGTATAAAAGACCATTGTTACTTCAGAATGTCCCTGGAGTGAAATGTTAGAATGCTTTGGAGGTTGTCTTTGTAGTGGTTTTGGCGTTTTTTTCTGGCCCTCGGTCAAGCAGACGCCCCTCCAGATGCCTGCCAGAAATAAAAAAATATATATATTTACTCACTTTTACAGCCACCCATTAAAATCCCACTCAAACGTCTCTCGTTGTCTCGTTTTGAATGGGACATCGACCCGGTTAGCTGTGACTCTCACTTTCAACCACGTCCCGTTTCAAGAATATTCTGTATTTGCTTTCTGGCAGGACTGCGGCCGTTTCCATACATCAATACTGTTGAGAAGACGACAAGGACTCACCATGGACTTCATCTCCCGTCCATCTCCATCACCGGGCTTGTACCAACCCATTTTCTTGCTGTTCTCAACAAATTCCTGGGGAGAGAAACAGAGAGTTTGAGAAAGTTTTGTTTTATTCATCTCATCCTAAACTGCTTATCCGGGGTCGGGTCGCGGGGGCAACAGCTTCGGCAGGGCACCCCCAACTTCCCGTACCTGGGCCACAACGAGCACTGCGACAGTGGGGAAGAGTGTAATATTGATCCAAATCCAAAGTGTCCCAAATCAGACTTTCCAACTCCTCATTGAAATTAAATTGAATCCCGTTCACACACGCTTCTCTCACCATTAGCGCCTTGTCCATGTAGTACTCGTGTCCAGGGCTGCCGTCGTTGTACTTGGTGTCCACGGCGAAGCACAGGAAGAGAACGTCGACCACGTTCTCAAAGACCGACAGGAAGCAGTGAGCCACCAGGAAGGCAAACAGACACACGATGAAGAGCGGCAGCACCCACACGGTGTAGTCCCTCTGGTAGTTCAGAGCCAGGACGCCGGCGAAAGCCGTACAGGAGACTATGAGCACCTGAGGGAGCAGAATGGGAGGACGTCAGAGGGAGCGTCTCCCGTTGGCGCACATCTCTTTCGGGGGGCGAATCCCGCGGCGGGACGTACCTTTCCCAGGAAGAGGACAAAGTCGCCCACGGTGTTGATGGCGGCCACGCGGAGGGCGTTCTCCACCAGGATGAGGAAAGCGTCGCGGGCCGAGGTGCAGAAACTGGTGCTGTTGATGGCCGTCGCGGTGTAAGCGTTCTGCAAGGACGTGCGCCGTGAGTACTTGAGCGGGGGGACCGTACGTGCCAGACTTCCTGCCTCCACCCATCTAAAAGGACTTACTTGATTCAAGTACGCGAGGCACTTCTCCAGGCACCACAGACAGCAGATGCAAGCTTTCAGCATGCAACGAGCGCAGGCGTTCTCCTGGGACAAGACAAGAAAACAGCGAGTTTGAATGCGTACGCATTAAAAGGTACTGACCAGTTTCACTTAAAGGAGTGTGTCTCATTTTCGCGGGCTCACCTTTCCTTTGAGCTGGCTGTGGATGTACATCAGGATGAGACGAGGGATCTTTACAAGCGTGATGATGAAGGAGCCTTTGGCCAGAGTACCCAGATGGTAACGGACGGTCCGCGCCATGGCGGAGAGGATGGGGGTCGCTGGCAACTGGGACTTATTCCTTAAGCGTGTCATACATACAGTACGTATGTGTGGAGAGAGAGAAAAGGAAGGTCATGATGAAAATAAGACGACGCTAAAAGAGTAAAGTGGTAATGACATCCTGTCACTCCGTTCATACCTCGTGAAGTAGTAGGTGACCACGGCTCCGGCGATGGTCATCTGCTGGAAGGCAAGTATGAACTCATTGATCCAGATGAGCCCCACGGCGTGATACCACACCAAGTACTGAAGAGGCCCCTGCATTTGATATTCAACAAGACCCGTAGAGTTGTTTTTCACTGGTGTGCCTGCGAAGGAGTTTTGGAGTTTTGGTCAGAATGTTTTACTCATCGGTCATTTTGTGGATGCAAAGATGTTTGCATCTGCTGTTCATGTATTTCAATGCTAATGATTTGTGAAGAGATTTCAATGCCATTGACATTAAATAAAAAATATCACTTTTTGAATACAAACCAAAATACAAAGAAAACAGTTAAAATAACATAAGGAAATATGAGGTTTTGGCTTCAGTTTTGAAGGGAACTTTGCTGAATTCAAAATCAAAAGTGGAAAAGAGAAGTGGGAGGCGAAGAGAGAAGTTATTCTTTCGCTCCCTCATCCCACATCACAAGATTCCAAACGTAGGAGGTTATTCATGCCACGAAAACAAGTGGCAAACTTTGTATTTTGGGACACATCCGATGCCACCAACTCTTCTGTGTGCCGCGTTGATAATACAACATGTATACACGGATGTTCCGAAAAGCACACGGATGAACTCGTATCGCGGCGCCTCACCTGAAGTTCCGAGAGACAGAAGCACAGTGATCCAGTAGATCCAGAAGAGCATGAGGCAGACGAAGGTCCAGAAAGGCTGCAGGGCCAGCAGAGGGAGGTGGACAAACACTTTACCGGCCACGTGGAAAAGGGAGATGGTGAGGGCCACCCGCTTCCTCATGAAGAACATCACAAGCAGCAGAACCACCTGCAGGGTCCAAAGACCAGCCATCAAATGAAATCATTGAAGTGAGCCGGAGAGTTTGGGAATTCCATTTGAACCCAATTACCTTTCCCGTTAGGAAACAAAACGGCGCCCCCCCCCCCCCCCCCCCCCCGGGCCCCATAGGGTGGTAAATAGGGGAAAAAGAAACCATTCCCATGCGTTGGCTGTTCCCCCAGGCGTACCGGGGACACCGTAACAAAAATGGGGTACACCCGCAGGGGCTTGGCGGTGTCCGAGGCCACTTCTTTCTCAAAAACTGAAAAGCTGCTCTGGGCGAAGGCCTTCTTGTGGTCCGTGTAAAAGACACAGAAGAAGCCTGTCTCACCTGCAAAAGCGCCAACAAGAGAAGAGCTCTCTCGTGACCCCCAAAAACCAAACTTGGGCGTTTACTTCTGTCGGCATCAACGCATTGTAAGAGATGCTTCTGGAGGTTACCTATGGAGCCGATGACCACCAGGACCGTTATGATCCACACCAGTACCATGGAGATGTAGCGGATGACCACCATCATGATCAGGGACAGAACTGACGAGAAGAACACGGCGCATCACATGAATACACAAAAGACCCACGTGGACGAGGTCACAGCAAGCTGCAGAACGTTGCCTATTTTACGGGATGTCTGGGCTTTCCCTGTTTGAGTTGATCACATGGTTAAAGGATGGAGCAGCCTAAACAAACACAACAGCACCAGACGGATCAAATAGTTGAGATAAAGATGAGTTAGACCAATGGGAGGAGTTGGAGCAGACCTTAAATGGAAGTTGCCTGTAGGCTAAACTACCAACGATACAACCACTCAGACATTTCCTGTTTGTTTTTTTTAGGACAAAAATCAGCTTCGCTTCCGAAAGTTCGGCTTCCTACCGAATCCTCACGGGCATTCGAGGTTTGTGCTTTGGGAGCGGCAGAGAAACAATTAGGAAGTCATAAAAACAATTCATTATGCCGCATAATTCCGGACGTGTTGTACCTAAAGCCAGCACGCAGAGGCCCATTATGATCTCCTTGCTGGCCAACACCCCGGCGATGACCCGGCGCAGCACGCTGTTGTCACCGACGAATTTGATGAACGTCTCGGCGAATTCCGCATAGCAGCCGACGTCCACAGGAACGCAGCGGTGCAACAGTGGGACTGGCTTACTACAAACGAGACCAGGGAGAAGGACATAGGTTCATGGATGGATGATGCAGTGGAATACAGACAATCACACACAATATCGATGTTTACTCGGCCCTGGAGTGTGTACATGTAGGCTGGGAATTAACCACTGAAATACATGAATGAACAAATAAATAATGGCTGCAGTAATGGTCGATTTTCTGTATTATTGAGGTTTCCCCTTTTCCCATCTCCTTACTCTTTTCAAGGCTCTTACAAAGGACAGAATCGATTACCTTGGAGGAACAGGGAGTTTGGGACATTTGGTGGATACGTCTCGATGGTTTGTGTATCTTGTAGGGGAAATATCATAAGCGCAGAGATGAGATCCTGCCCAGAGAAAAAGAAGATTAGATTAGATGTAAAAACTTTTTCTGTAGGTAATTATAATGGTATGCAATTTATGCCTCATGTTAGTCAAACAATTCTATTAAATGCATGTAAATATATGTGTCAAACTCAAACTCACACTTAATACCTTTACTCCAAATCATTGTGCACTTTTCTCACCGTTTTTCAGAGCAAACTGCTTCACATCACTGAGAGTCATCAGCTCAGCAGCGGGGCATTTGGAGACACACAGAGCGATGGACTTGATCTTCCTGTTAATTAAGTCAAGGTTGCATGGGTCTAGAAAGAAAACATACCTGCCGGGGAGAAAAAATTAAAAATAAAAATAAAGAAGATTAATTAAGTGAATGAGAATATCAGTATATTTGGTTATTACGATGCCAGTGGGGACCGTTCTGTCTGAGCACCAAATGAAAGATGGTGACATTTGCTACCCCGTCGCACAGATCCGTCTTTGTACCAGAAACGCCTTTTTATTCAAAGCTTCCACGGGCAATCAGCCCATCAATAAAGCATGACCCATTGTTCTAGTAAAACTGGGCCCACAGGCTGCATGCTGATGGGAAGCTACGGCCCCGAACGCGGGAAGATTCATTATGACAAGAGGAGAATTTGTTACGATTCTATCTGTGTAGGAAAACGACACATTAAAGCAGTCACTTTCATTGATGTGTATGCAGCAAACGGCTGTTTGTGGTGAACTAGATTCGGATCACGTGACGCAATCGTTGCGTGTAAACAAGCAATGCGTCAGTGCCACAAAAACTCCACACCACAAAAGTGCAAAAGAAGAACTTTCAAGTACTGAACCTATAACTAAATGTTCCTTCCTCGTAGGGAAGGCATGTAAATATAAAGTAAGTGAACATCTGGGTCACATGTTCAGTAACAGATGAGACTAACCTATTTTCCCTCATGTCCTGCCCACTGAGGGGTACTCCCTCGACCTTGGAGTTATTCTTGCCACACGTGTTGCCATAACTGTCGTATCCAGAGATAAGCCTGGACGCAGCTCCTGTGGCGATGGGAAAGACACAAATGCACACCTGCACACAAGACAAAATAAAAAAAACGTTCAGAACCTTAATAATCAAATAGCCACATGCATTGATCTTTTTGACACAATATGGAACACTAGAACAACAATAGAATTTGCAGTTCTGCACCCGTGTTGCAGGTTTTTTAAGTAAACCTACAGTAACTAATAGTAATGCAACATTTGTGCAATACAAACCTTCAGTTTTGAGTCCATTTTAGAAGGTGGCAATGTAAATGTTTTTTTTATTCATAAAATTAATTATCTTATTTTTGGACAGAGCGGATGACAGCCTTTGAAGTCGAATCAACACTTCAATGAAATCCCCTTCAGCCAAACCGGAGCCTATTACATCGCTCGAGGCTTCCAGATGCAAACGTCAGCACTGATCTCCAACTGTACTTTCAAATCGGTCAGTATTTGTAAGACAATCATACAATACACAAAAGGGTCAGATTATTAGGTGCTTCAGGTGCTTGTAACGCGGTCTCGGACCAGAACTGCAACAAATATTACATCTGTGGAGGTTTTTAATGTTCAGTTTTTTCTTGGGACTGTTTGTTCAACTGTGTGCTCTATTTGGAAGAAGCACATGATTGCTGGAGATGTTGAACTGTATTGCAATACAACATCTACCTAAATAATATAAATAGGATTGACAAATTACTAAAAAAGGGTACCAATCCAAATGACCAAGCAATTAAATAGACACCTAAAAAGTTTGAAATCAAACTATCCCCGTGAATAGCGGACTTATTGCACATCTGTTGCAATAAATCAAATCAGATTTAAGTGGGAGCACAGATTCAAATAGAGCATCTCAGTGGCCGTTCAACTGAAAACGTACCATGCCGAAACAAAACAAGGCGAACACGATGAGCCACGGGACGTCCGTGCAGCTGCGCTGCTCCAGCGGTTTCCAGTCACGTTTGACCTGCAAATGCGTAAAGGAATGAAAGATAAGACTTAAGACGAAAGTTGAGGCGGAAAACCCCGGAACTGCTCCTCCGACATCAGCACACACACATCTGGGTGTGTTGGCTGCAGAAGAAGGGATCGCGAAAGTCTTCCACGAACAGCGTTACAGTTTAAAAGTTTAGGAAGGAATAAGTAACCGTCGCGTTTTGGTAACTTACCTCGGTGCTGCTACAACATCCCATGTTGGAAAACTTTGGCTGAGTTCAACGAAACCAAAACTCCAAAAGCCTTTTAATCGGTGAAACTTTTTTGAATTTTCTTCTTATTTTAGCTCATTTCTCTTTTCCCGTTTGTTTTTGTTTTTCTACCGAAGGGCACAAATATGTAGCTCCGTTTGTGACTTGTTCAATTCAGCAATTACCGCCCATTAGCGAGACTCCAGCTGCAGGTAAACACGGAAGAAGTCAAATGTATTATGCCGCCTTCAGGGGCGGTCAGGAATATTACAATCGTAGCTTAAGACAGCCTGCTGTTTCAATCTGTTTCAACCCTCCCACACACACACACACACACACACACACACACACAGACAGAATAATTCAGTAGTGGTATTATTGTTATTATCTGCGTCGTTATCATTATCATGAATTATGTCCCTATCAAAAGAGAAATCCCTGCTGGGTTTAGAAGGTTACAAGGTGCACGTGAAGGCAACATAGCTCTCTGTAGACTGAACGTATGCAGCCCAGAGCCGTTTAAAGGAAGAGTCGCGTCAACGAAAGTTAAAAATACCAAAATTCCTGATCGTCACTTGTTTTTTGGAGTATGATTCCTTATGATGATATATTATATGTATTACAAATTCAGTATATACTATTTACATTTTTCTGGGTTATTCATAATATTTTAGGGCAGTACAATACACATTTGCATGATTTGTTATTTCTGTCCTATGTAAAAACACTATCTTGTTATTATCACCATGGCCAACTAGAGAATCTTGACCTGCAGCATTACTGTTCCTCCATCAAGTATAAAGAAGGTTGCAAATGTACACTCAAAATATTTCCTGTATTTCCTGCATAATATATGAATATATGTATATATATATATATATATATATATATATATATATACATATGCGCACATGTATTCTATGCTTATATTCCAATACTATAGTATATTAGTAATAAAAAGTAATAGTGTACTATTTTTTGTATTTATTATTACTTTGATGAATACGATTTTTCTAATTTCCCGGCCAACATCAAACTCCCATTAATCAAAAATGAGTTTATACACAGTAAAGGCATGTATCTACAGTCACAGAGTCCTACAAAATCTAATGTTTTATTTTAATTTTAAATAACTAAATAACAGTGGCGATGTAGCATAAAAACATCCTACGGCATTGATAGTGTACTGCGAGGAACTGTTGAGAGGCTCCATTAGTTTCAATCGATGTAAAAAAAATGGATGGAGATGCCGTGACTTTCAGTAAATGTCTCAGGGGTATCCTCATAATAAAACACGTGTTCAATTTGGTGCCGTTTGCTGCAATAGTAAAGTAATGCAGGTTTACTCAGAACGTTTGAGAACGAACATAATTCATCGCGTAGTTTCCCTCTTATTAGCAGCACAATTAAATGATTAAGACCCGGAATGCCCAAAACAGCAGTATCCAATGAATACAAGAGCTTCAGTTTCATGTCATGAGACCTTATGTAACAGTTATTTATGGTAAATCATTCTTATTTCATTATGTACGATAAGTCTTTACTTAAAGACAACCAACACTAACCTTACAGTTCTGCATGAACGCAGGATCACGATGTGCCAAAAATCTAGCTGCATCTACAAATCTAAATGTATAACTAACGTTAAACCCATGATACCAGAGGATTTCTCATTTTGCAAGTGTCCCCATATTGATAAATATGTCGCTTTGTCGCCCTCAGCAGTCCGTGTCATGTTATTACAACTGACACCTACCATCAAATGCTGATTTTAATTTGATGGATTTCTGACAGCCACGCTGCCGGGGGAGGGTGGGGTTGTTCAGGACTTCACGTGCTGCTCTGGCACACCTCAGCGAGGCCCTAGAGTCTACATGGGCTGGATGCCTGCTCACCTTGAGACCGCTACAGGCCCTCCAGCTGATGCACGTGTGTGCGCTCCGGTCACGTGGTTGGAAGCCTTCGATGAGCCAAACGTATACACGAGTCCACGCAAAGGTCAGTGATCTGGATACTTGGAGTCTTACAGCATCTCGTCATCCTGACAAACACACATCGTGCGTCATTGCTTCTGCCTCGGGAACAGCAGCTTTTCTTCTCTCTGACTTTTGTTCTTCGCACTGTGCTTGAAGTCGCTTTGACACGCTATCTCAACAAAGGTTTCCACTCGTGGCTTCTGAACGTTCTAAGTCGCACAAAGAACGTTCAGAAGCCACCAACGTACGAGCCAGAACGTACAAAGTCTGATGTTTTTTTCTTTTGTAGCATGCATTTGAAGAAGGCCTCGGCCCCCCTGCCTGCAGATCTTTCCCCTCCACATCGTGAAGATTCTCTGAGCTGCACACTTCCTGAGTGGGCTGGAATGTCAAACAGTGTCCTAAAGAAGAAGTGCCTTGCGTATTATTGTCCTTCCACTCTTATTGCACTATAAACGTTTCTACCGCATTGCGTAGTAGACCTGAAGGGAAGATAATATTTAACTGTGGCAATCTTGTCCACTTTACACTCTACGCGGGTACAGTTGTGTCTCTGACAGTGCGAAATACCTGAGGTCATATAAAGAAACCCCTTTTATGAAAAACTGAATTCCGGTACAAATGCAGGTTTTCCTCACACCTTATAATAGCTGTTATTGCATCAGTACAGATAAAAAGTATAAAAATAAGCAGGGAAGGACAATTTTCTGAACCTGAGGACCTGAGAAACGGTAGACTATGTGAACACGTGTGGGGTGGGGGGGGGGGGACGAGTCCAGATGTTGGCTGGTTACATTTGGAACCAAGATGCGAACTAACATGCAGCGCAAACATGAGTGTTTAGAGGTCTCTCTCCTCTTCCTCCTCCTGGCCCCCTCATCCCTGACTCTTCATCCCAAGTATTTCCTGCTTATGCTGCTTTGGCAACGGTGTTCAAGGACAACACGCTTTGCTGGATCTCTGCTGGAAGATTCAATGCCAGCGCAGCATATGCTCAGCACGATCCTTTGTGGGGAGGGTGTCGTGCGTCGTGCGTCACTGTACTGGCTCTCATTAGGTCTGGTCCAAGCTCAAGAATCATTCCTCATAACCAACAAGACAAGAGGATAAATATTATGCGGTTCTGTCCCCAGATGCTTACAAGACTCAAGCTGTTAGAGAATTCAAAGCTCAGAGGATGGGATGACTTTCAAAAAGTTCTACATCGCACCTACTTTTTGTTTTGTCGCCCGAATGACTCGCTTTTTCTTTTTGACCGCAGTCTTTTGTGAATCACTCAACAATTGTTAACAGCAGTGTGGCTTTCAAAATGAGTCATTTTTCAAACTTGAAATGACCAAAGTTTAACGTCTGATGGGTGACCGAGTTAGCCGGAGTAGATTTGTATGTAAGACGTGAAACCCTTTTCCACATTTACCGCCGATGTACACGAGACGCTTATATGTACGGCCGCAGACATTCCTGCGCACATTTTAACGCTACAGACGTGTGGGAATGTGCCCAGGTGCAAGTGGTGATAAGGTTGCTGGGCAGATTTATGCAGATGAAATCCAGCTGCTGTCGCCAAGTAGCCCCGCCTTGATCCATACGGAACTGTCTGTCTGAGATGCAGCGATGCACCGCAGACTGCATTTACTTACACATTGTGTATCCATCACTCACATGTCTTTTTTAAAGAATTGAATCAATAGAATACCTTTTGAGGAGGTGAGGGCTGTTTCATTTGAGAGTCAAGTCTAGTTTTTTTTTATACAGACCAACGTAACGACTCACAAATGGGCCTCAAAGGGGCTTTGCAATCTGCACAGCACATGGCACCCTCGGTGCTTAGACCTTGGGTTCAGATAAAGAAACCCCCCCCCCCCACCAAAAGTCATTTTTATGTGGAAAAAAAATCTCAGCAAAGGCAACACACTTTTAATAGTTCCTTTTGTGTGTAAACTGGACAGAAAATAACAAGTACAACTACAATATGGTGAAGCAGAACAATGACATTAGGTGGATGGGCTGTAAACATATATGACCAGGGCCACCCATCCCCCCCCTCCCCCCTTTCCATGATGACCTGGAAAGAAGACCGACACTACACGATGTGCACAGTCTACAGACTCGAGGAAACATTTTAATGACAAAAAACAAGGGAAAGAGGGAGAGGAAGGAGTTCTTAAAACACGGTGATAGACTTCTTGGACTATTCGTTTTTGCTTTTTTCTTTAGGATGATGTCACCTTTCATAGAGTCACTTTATTTCAGAAGGCGAATTTTCCCTATTTAGTGGCGCTGACTGTGACTCGTTTGGAACAATGTTAACATGTATATAAAATAATATTAAAATAAAATGCATTGTATCTTGTCTAATGCCAACGCCTGTTATGTTCTCAAATCCATTTTTCATTCATTCCGTAAAGTATTCCACTGCAATTATGTTATGATTTTGAATGGATTTGTGAAAATATTTAGGAATTCGGGCGGGACGTCTCCTCTGCAGGGAAAAGGCCGCGGCGTTCCTGTCGCCTGATGCTGGTTTTGCCGCAGACAGCGTGGTCATGGAGAGGAGGAGCGATTCACAGTCGGGTCTGTTGTCTGTGAGAGAGAGAGTGAGGAGGGGCCCAATTAATCAATGAAATAAGATTGATCCATTTCAAAGCTAAAATAATGTGAAATTACCACAAGTAAACCCTAACACATTATTTGCTAACGAGCTTGTAATAGGTATTTGGATTCCAGGCGCCTCAAAAGAAGATGGATCGGGTCAAATATTTAAGAACGGATTATGACTTTTGAAAGCAGCCACACACAATTTGAAATTAAAAGGAAATGTGTGTTTTGTACAATATCTTGGCAGTCGCAAAGAATGATGTTGCTCGTTTGCTATTTAGCTGAAGTAAAGTATGCAGTTCTCAGTGTGAGACTCAAAGGCCCATGCCCATTTCCTATCACTTAATTTGACAAAACAAAAAAACAGTAACAGTGCTTTACAAGACTCACACACACACACCTGCACATGCACACATACACACACACACACACACACACACACACACACACACACACACACACACACACACACACACACACACACACACACACACACACATAGAGTACATCATGTTCTCTCTTGTCTCTTACCCCCACACACATACGGAGACTCTCACAAGAAGATTAGATAGATTATTTTAGCCTGGAGATTGTTATGGTCTGTATCCTCAATAACTTGTACTTCCTGTTCCCACGGTAACAGTCTCACTGGAACCACGATCAGCGGCCAGGGCCCCCTCAGTATCTCCCACGACGACTTGTTGCATTTAGACCCAGAAGATTAAAGGGCAATTCTTATTTCAGACACAAAGGAAGCCCTCAACTGTCTTTGTAAATGCACATAATCTGCTTTGGGATGTTTCGTTCAATTATATTGCAATTGCCAAACCCAGGCCATTTAAAGCGTGATGATTGGTCATGGTTGTGAGAAGGAGTTGTTTACGCCGGGGTCTGGCAAGAGGCAGGAAGGGATTGCAAGGTTCTTGGTGTGGTTTGCTGATGTTATTTTTAGATCTTCAGATGAGATTCTGGCATTTTGTTCATTTTTTATTTTAGTGTAAAGGATCCCAGGATCTTGTTTTTAAAACTTTGCATTACTACCGAAAAATAAAAAGTATTAAAATGGATGAAATCAAATCTCCGCTAAGCAGTCTTTGTAAATGCATGGGCTTAAAATGACTGAGTTATTGAAGGGATTGCTTTCTACAAACGTCACGTCCATTTTCCTACACGGGCAAACAGTCAGTTTTCAATGCCCATGATTTAGCCCGGCTTATTTTTCCAATAATAAACTATATCAGTGTGGAATGTGAGGCTGTTTCCTTTGGACCCTTGCTGCTCCACTTAAGAAGCCGAGGGGTCGAACAGTGGGGGACTGCAGGGTGGATCATGAATAGGTCTTTCTTAACCATGAATGTGACCGCTCACACCGAGCAGTGGTGCCGCGTGACGTTCACGCTCGTCCTGTGTGATGTGGGAGCAACGATGACTCTCTGGAGGGGGAAAAAACATTCTGATATAACGCTCATGTACAGTGTCAAGCCGTCTGCGCAGATTCCAACAAAGAATGTACACACATGCACGCGCAAAAAAAAAGTTAATATTGTTTTGTGAAATTGTAGTCAAATAGCATATTCACTACACACTCAATGCTTAGGCTACTGTGTCAACAAACATTAGCACGTTAGCTTGGCTGCATTTCTCTCAAAGCACTGCTTTGAAGCTACATTTTGTTTTTCATTTTCCGTTTTGTAATGCTTCACCACTCCAGCAGCTGGAACACAACCACACACTACACTGTACGGAGACGGTGCCGACGGGGACCCAGTCCCACACGTGTTGTTGATCGGACGTGTATTTGCACAGAGCCACAGACGGATCGCGCCGTGACGTAGGCTGGCTTTTTAAATTAGAGGCCCCGCGTTGGACGTCCACAGGAGGTAATGAGTGGATAGCCCGAGTCACGCTGCTTGTCGGCCTCTGGCCTTCAATCCCCCGGCTGAACCATCCGGATGCGAGCTACCGGGACCCAAAGGGTCTGCACTTGGTTACACTGCACTCGGCGCCGACCACAGAGCGCATCGTGTGACGGACAGAGTCTTGTTGAACTCAGAATACGACCATCTGTGTCCCCGGAGAGACCGCGTTGACGACAGTGTGCAGTTTCCCAGCGAGGCCCCTGAGAAAAGACTCATCCAGACCAGAGCCTCGCCTAAACATCTGGACGACCCCCGGAGGTTAGAGGCCGGGGCTGCAGATGCTCGGAGGGGCTTCAGTCACGTTCTTGCGTTGTCCTCGTTGTTCTTTGGGGGCAACTGGTGCAAATTCTACTAATGCATTTTGTGGTAGCTTGAGTTTTGTAAAATGCAGTTGTTTAACTTTAACACTTTGATGGATATGCTGTCGTTGAAGGATATTTATAGCCCGTATTTTATGTAAATCAAAAGGGGTTTCGACTGGAGACGCAAATGGGGGTCTGCAGTATTTAATTTCACAACCGCTGTCTCGACCAATGACGTAAGATCACACTGGCAGATTAACATTTGTCTTAAATTCTCTCAGTGGCATCCAGTGTAAATATCCCAGGCTTTGTCTTGTTTTACATGCCGAGTGCCTCTAGCCAATAACTATATTAGGAAATGAATTACCGGCATTTGTGTCCTTGTTTTTGTTCTTCCTTAAGGTTTACTATAAAACAAAGATGCCAGGTTGACACCATCTATAACAGTGTCCACGTCTTATAAGAAATGCATTCTCAAAGCCTCTGTGTATCTTCCGTTAATGCCAATGTGTAAGAATGCTTCTAGGGTTCCAAGATGACCAATTTAAGAAAGAAAGCCCCTGAAATAACTGTCAAAACATAAGAGCAATCTCGCTTGGGCCGCAGCCAGAGGTCTGACGAGGCAGCCTGTCCTGTTACTAATCCAAACCAACTGCTTGGAGCGCTGCCCAATTCAGCGGGATTGCCAGCTTAGGCGGAGTGAGAAAAGGCCAATGAGGAGAGGCGAGGAGAGGGACATATTGCGAGATAGGACGTTTCTAAAACGGTGGGGAGCAAAAGCACGTTAGAGGAGGGCGGAGGGAATACATTGTGCCGGGGGGATGGAGGAGGGGGGCTCCGAGGATGTGACTCAGACGCTGTCAAAACCAGTGGGGAGGGAACCTGATGAGAAGAGGGAAAGAGCGGAGGAGAGCAAGGGTGGAGCGGGGGAGAGAAAACCCGGCCCCTCTCACACCACCCCGACTCTCTCGCATTCGGCGTCAGCAAAAAAAAAAAAAAAAAAGAAAACCTAATGTGATCAAGATGGAAGTTGTCTTTGGACTTTTTGCTGCTCCCCGGCTTTCTGACTGCCTTTGGGGGCTTCCGAGGTTTTCCCGACAGTTTCACAGCAGAGATCCCGACCGGAGTGGAGAAAACAGCCCGCAGAAACAAAGTCTGAGGATTGCTTACTGAATTAGACAGATGTCAAGTCACTTGAGGAGAGACGGATTCATACTCCCCAAAAACTACTAGGTATTGCTTTCTGTGGATGAATGAAAAAGGCAGCTTAAACCAACGTTTCTGGACGACTGTACTCAAAGCAATTTCTGGATCTATGACACACTTGGTTGGATTATGACCCGGTGTTTGATCTCTGAATATACAGCCGCTGGATTATTCTGTAAAACAACAAAGAACTAAACATTGTTGCTGCAGCGTAAGGGAATCGGATTGGTCCTGAGGTTTCATCTTTACCGACGGCGGATAGAAGGAGCAACTGTTCTGGGACACTTTTTGTGACCCCCCCCCTCCTCACCCCCTTACTTAACTAACAACCGGGAGCATCTTCACGCCGGGAGGTGAACATGTCTGTTGGTACCAACCGGTTCTTCTCCTGAGGAAACAAAAGGTGAAAATGTTGATGATACTGTTACTGCTCATAGATTATTCCTTAATGTGAACGATGATTTCTGTCACTTACTGTACAATTCTCCTTTAGCAGAAGCAGAGGCATGAATTGAGGACATCCTGCTTGTTGATCCCTGTGTTTCTTTACTTTAATTTGTTCTGATAGCAATGGGGGGGAATGAGCTTGGCACAGCACAGAACATGGGTTTGATTTATGTAACAGGTCCCACAATATGCTAAATGATAATGTTGCTTTATGGACACCCTTCTTTTCGGGGACTGTTTACTGTCTTTTACACTTGAACTGCCTTTAGTTACATCATTCTCATTTTACTGTGTACAGAATGGTAGTTATGCAACACCAATTAGTTCAGACCACTATTTCACAGTTATGATGAAGGTTTGCAGCGCAAATAGGGGGAACTGGTTCGGTTACAGTTCACATTGTAAAGACTTCAAAAGTAAACAAGGGATATTGGCATTATTCTCCATAGTTATGATGTTTCAGGCTGTTGGATTTTTTCCCTGGAAGCTTTTCGACATTTCAGGCGAAATGAATAGCTTCAGATCGAGAACATCCAATGTCGTTGGCGAGCCGGGAAGATAATTCCATGTGGGATTAGCATAACCGGGAATCATGCTGTTTTATACAGGTCCAACAGTTTGTACTTTCAAGGGAATTGTAAAAGCGTTATAGTTACGCCCTACTTGAACTTTAAACTCACTACTCCCAAACTGTGTACTTAGAGAGCGACCTGTTATTTACCATAATGTCATCTGCACATTCAGGCTCCGTAAAGTCCTAACCTTCCAACACTTTGTTGTTTCCAATCCCAATTTCTCATCCTCACTGCAGAATATTTCTTTCGCCTGCCCGTCAAAGTCATCTCTATGGGATAGCCGCGTCCCTCCACGATGCCAGTAGCCATACGGAAAAGACGTTGGGAGGAGCACGTGACTCACGCTTCAGGATTACAGTACAGCTATGACGACCTGGACCTGGTCTGCCGCCACGGGGTGCAGAGCGAGGGGCCTCGGGTGGCAGCCGGCTCCTCTAAACAAGGGCGACGGACGAGGTGTGCGTCCATGCCGGAGGGCTGCCACCGACTGCCCCCGCAAGACTCCGTTGTGTGTGATCACACCGCGTCAGAACAGTCGAAGGTAACGGGCGGCGACGTAAAAGCCGACGTTGTTATTCCCCGAAGGGCCGAGGGCCGCGACGGTGGGATGGAAAACGCTAAGAAGACCGCCGATGGGGAAAACGTCACGGAGAGCAGCGTGAGTCCCAACGTGTGCGATGACGATGGTGTCTTTAAAAGTCCACATATCTCACGTGAAGGGCAACAGTGCATCTCTATCTCTTCAAACAATGGGCCTCTACTGTCGAGATCCGCTGTTGAACCGCCTGGCAAACCTCCAAATCATCAGGAAACAAAGGAGAGCCACACAGAGGGTTACAGCAGACCTCCTGAAATCTCTGAGGCCGCACTAAACCGGTTCTCTGCCGCTGAACTGGAACCTCAGACTGACCCTCCAGATGCAGGGGAAGAGAAGATTTCCACTTTTGGCCATGCTGATGCAAGTGTAGCTGTACGTGTTGGTGTGCTGCACAGTCCAGTTAATATGATGGAGAGGCGCGATGGGATGTCACCGGCTGACGAAACTGTGGAAACAGCAGCGGCTTTAGCGGTGGAGGCGTCGGGTGACAAAGGAGTAACTGAAAGCCGCAGCGCAGAGGCTGCTGTCGAGCCGGATGGATTAAATGACCCAGAAACTGTAAATGGAAATGCAGGACTTCACTCGAGAGGCCCCCTGGGAGTAGAGCAGGACCATCACCGCCGGGCTGAGGATTCCCGTCAAGCTGGTGGCTGTGAAACACCCCGCCAGGTGCTGCTGGAACTGCATGATGTCGAAATGATGGCGAGGAGCGCGCCTCGGGAAGAGGAAAGTGCACAAGCACACGGCGGGGAGGAAGCAGCAGCAGAGGTGAGAGGCGAGCCGACCGCCCCATCCGGCACCAGCCTCGATGGTCAGCGTCGGCCCGCGGTGGTCAGCGGCGATGTGTCGTCTGAAGAACCGGATGGCGGGTATTCAGGAGGAAACCGCGTCCTGACAAACGTTACTCAGTGCGCAGACCGCTGTGAGGAAACTACCACCTCTGTTAGTCAACCAGTGGGAAACAAAGAGTTGGCCTGTGGTGACCATGTAACCGAAAATAGCTGTTCAAAAGCGGATGCTACCCAGAGGGGGGGCCCCGGTGGGCCAGAGGACACCACCGCCCTGGAACCTCAGAACAACACAGACTCCGTCTTAAACTCCAAAAATCCACATGTTCAGCGGCCCCGCGTGGATGTTAAACACGCAGGCTCGCCACCAAGCTCTAAGGAGGTCAACCGTGACCTCTCACCGGGGGGACTCCATGGCAACCAAGCCCCTGGCTCCCACCTCGGTGAGTCGCCTGCCGCTGAGGTGGCAGACGGTCGGGGGGAACAGCAGAGGCCGGGGGCCACAGTCTCAGTCCTCAGTCCTCCTGGGATGGAGGAGCCCGGCGAGGCCGCAGGCGGTGCCGTTTTCCCCGGCAAACAACCTGCCGCTCCAGTTTTAGAAGGAGCGAAGGACCCCGCAGATCCAAATGAGGACGGCGTGGTTCAAGTGCGTATGAGAAAGGTAAGGCTTTATATTTGATATTGGTGTGGAGGAGATGGAGTGGGTCACAATTACGTCTACGTAATATGTTTTTTCCCGTGTCGTGTTTGCGATTCTGGCACCTCAACATCGTAGAATTAAGTTTCTCTCGTTTTGTTTTTATGAACACGGGCATTTATGGACTCCAAATGATTTTTGTCCCGGCTCTCTGGCAATCGTCTCGGAAAAGTAATGACTTCACTCTTACGTGCTTACAAATCGGTGTGTGTGTGTGTGTGTGGGGGGGGGGGGGGGTCTGTGAAATGTTTCACTCTTTCTCAACGGCTCATTGCTGAACAAGGTCCTATAAGGGCATGCAGACCATGACCACGGATCGGGCTGGAACCTCCAGTAATCGCTGGTGTGAAACACTTAAAGTGCACTCTGTTGCCAGTCGAATACTGCACGTTGTACTACTCTCCAGTCGAATACTGCACGTTCTACTACTCTCCAGTTGAATACTGCACGTTGTACTACTCTCCAGTCGAATACTGCACGTTCTACTACTCTCCAGTTGAATACTGCACGTTGTACTACTCTCCAGTCGAATACTGCATGTACTCCAAAAAGACTGGTAGCATGTGTGCTTGTAGGGGCAGTTAAATGCCAAGCAGTTCATGGAGTTTGGTTTATTGGAATAAAGCAATGTAATCTGAGAATGGGTTTTTATTAAATGTTAATAGTTGCAGTGTTTGCTTTAATGGAATGACAACAAGAAATGCATTATCATCAAGGCAGGAAGCATTAAAGAAGATGTTGTTTAGACAGGCACCTTATTGTGGAGAGTCGGATTCTTGTGATTGGTTCGAGCTGAAGACGATACTTGTGAACAACAACAGTTTGATCGGAAAATCCCAATCACGGGTTGTATTCAAGGGTGTTTTTGTACAGCTTTAGTGGTTGTACATTTTAGATTTTTTCTTACAATAATTTAACGCTTGTTAAAAGACTCTCATATAGTAGTGAGGCCATTCATAGGGTATCATGGTCAGTGTTTAATACTTTATTCTTATAAGTGTGCATCGTGGAGCCTTGTAGTGGCTTGATGGTCAGTGTGTGAATCAAGCCATGGTTTATATAACGTAACAATACAGTAATGAAGTTTGTTGGTGTTCTCTTGCCTGAAGTTGCTGTAATATACTTTCAAAGTAATTTGTGTATTTATGCATAAGTAATGTTGGATGTGGTGTTGTTGCTCATATACACTTCAAAAGCCGCTTTTTCACAAAACATGCAACATAAATGTCTTTGGAATTAAATGGAAAGCGTGGAATGAGCTATGATGAGGGATTATTTAAACACAAATACCGTCCATGTGTGTAATAAAATTAAAAAAAGAACCTTTGGAGGCCTTCTCAGTTATGACCAAAAGTGAAGTCATTCCCATCAGCTGCCAAAAACCAGAGATGACAGTCCAGTGCAAAGACATGGAAACTAGTGCCGCATTCATTTCCATTGGCTCCGGATTAACTCTTAGAACGGCTTCAGCGTTTGGATTCAATATCTGATAAAAAAAAAAAAAAGACACTGTCCCCTGTAAATCAAGTACGGGGGTTCAGACATTAAATTGTAGGGCACCGATACAACTCATCCACCATATGCTGATGGCTGGCCTCCTCTCTGAATGCACCGCAGGGCGTTCATCATCATTCACATGCTGCATGAAGCCAGTTTGCTGAGACACTGTGCTTTGGGGAAGGCCATGAGGACGGGGACAAAATAAGGTTTAACAAATTAGCATTATCATCTCCAAGGCAGGTGACAGATTGTGTTTAGCATAAAGAAAAAAATAGAAGAAGCTCTTGGATCATGAGGGAAATTACAGAACTGGTGTCATTATCTGTTTGGGGACAATGGCAACAGTAACCTGGAATTATGTGTGACAAGATATTGCACTAACAAATGATTATGTCCCCAGTGAACCGTGTTGTTGCAGATGCACTTTGTAAATCGAAGCCATCTGGTTTGTGTAATGGCTTCAGATTAACCTGATATTGGGCTGTGTCACTGTGTTTATTTGTTTTAGCAACAGGGCTTTATCTTGACCCCAGGGTCTATCTGACTGCAGACCTCTTGGCAACATCATCATCTCAGCGCTCATCAATCAATTACAATGTCTATGAATGAGACGCACACATTGACCAGCGCATGCGTAATCGTGTTCACGCTGTGTTTAGCTCAGCAGAGAAATTGACCCTCGGCTTAATGGACAGGTTTGAAAAATGGGATGAGGGCCACAGGGTAGAAGAGGGGGTTTGAAAAATAGAAAGGAAACGGGAAGGAGGGGTTTACGAGTTCAAACAGTGTGGGAACTGTCTCCCATCTCAAAAAACAGGAAGTTGAGTGGAATGTAACAGAAACCTCAAAAGATTGGAGGGAGAGAAAGAAAACCTTGTGAGAACACTAAAACCACCAGAATGCCCCCCCAAAAAAACCCGCCCGACATTGCACTTGTTTTTGCACTCTGCTGTTTTGAGGTTGTTATTGCCATCTCGAGCCAGATGCTTTTGTTCATTCAGAGAGGTCTCGTAAAGATGTCATTGTTTTAGCGCTACACAATGTCTCATTGTGACGCTTTGCAGAGGACACAGAACGTAGCGATCTGCCGCTCGCTCGGAATGCCAATGAATGCATCAGCATGAGACACTTTTCCATGACACGCGTCATGGCCCTCAATGTCTGTTTGCCCTCTGGGGAAAATCCAATAGGAACGACTTTCGACGGGCTGATTGGCCGCTAACCGGAACATAAATGTAAGCGCAAGTCATGAGACCTCCCTTGGGGTGGAGCTGGAGTTTGTTTGCCGTGATGCAGATTCTATCTAGGATCCATAAAGGTGTCAACCTCGCACACATACGCATTAGTCACAGCCCGTGTGAATGTTATCATCTGAACACACCCTTTGTAAACTAAACCACAGCAAGATCCATCCACCCACCTCACAGTTTGATAACTTAACCATAAGCTTGGGTTTCCAATCGATCGCACCCAAGGTCAGACACGGCCAGAGGAAACCCACTGGCTCGCATTCACACGCTGAACATGCTTCCACACCGCTGCAACATACAATCATAGTGGCTGTGTGTCCCGTGAGCTCACCCTCATAAAGTGTTTAACAGGGTCTGTTGATGGATATTGTAATGAGGTTTGTAGGGACTAATGAGCCAGCGGTGTGATGTCATTTTTCTTCTCGGGAGAGAAGCTCAGGCGGAGAGAGCCACACCCGGAGCCATGCGCATAAGACAGGCAGAAGGAAATGAAAACATTTACTCTGCTAAGAAGGCCGGACAAGGGAATTTACAAGTTTGATCCGCAGACCAAGGGCTTATATCACATCAAACAAAAGCAAATTGAGGCCTAGCAGACAAGGATTACACGCTACTTAGCGTGTCTTACTGACGAGACGCCACCTGAGGTCACTGTGAGACTTGATATCACAGCGTGAGAATGGATAGATAAACACTGGAGCACTATGAGGGAAAAAGGTCATATGATTCCAAAATGATCAGAGATAATGAAACATATATATGTATATAGTATTGTATACATATATATATATATATATATATATATATATATATAAAAGCACAAGAAACAACCAGGGCCATATCATGAGCAGCACAGAGACAGATGCTGAAGAGCAAGGAGTGAAAGTTTCGGGATTAGGGTGGAAAACGGGAGAGGGAAGAGAAGTAAGAAGCAGGGAAAGATGGATCAGCATGGTTGCAGTCTTTGGGTATGAAGGGCTACGAGAGAAAGGTCTGAGGTGGTTTGAGGTTTATTGTTCAGAAAAGTTAAGAAAATGTATTACTGGCATTTTAGTATGATGAAGATATTATTTTGTCAAAATGAAAAAAAAATCCAGCAAATATATTTAACCTTAAACTTTATTTTAGCCTATTTTAATATCTTTCGAGCCAATAAGTCCACATCTGTTTTTTATTTTCAGGATTTAATCAAACTGTTGTACATTGTCATTTATTCCATTGCTTGGATCAAGTGAGAAAGCTGGAAAGCTGATTTTGAAGTATTTCTCTATTTACCCATTAAAATAATCCCGGAAGTAATCAGAAAGACAAATGCTTCCTACTTCACAATGCATTTCCAGTGTCTCTCCCCTGTCACATTCTACCTCCTTTGAGGAGTTTGGTAAATGGATTGCATATGTATGGTTTTCCACCATAACATAAACATGCCTCTGCCTTCTCCCAGTCACACGCTGATGGGGGCAGAGCTGGCCGATCCACGGGGAGCAATTCAGGGCCCATTGTCTCTTCTACATCTATGAGCTGGTCGCAAAGGGGATATTACATCTCCTCATACTCACTTTGCTACTTTATTTGTCTTGTTTATTCAGCGTGAGCATGCTCGTCTGGACTCGATGGTGCTGCTGCTGATGAAGCTGGACCAGTTGGACCAGGAGATTGAGAATGCGCTCAGTGCCACCTCCTCCATGGACAGCACCCCGACCCTTCATCGGCGACAACCCCTGGTACGCACCTGCACGTCACCCTGCTGGGTTCAGCCAGCTCCTTGTACGAACCTTTGACTCCAGCAATGACCTTCGTTTGGTATTTCATGTCCCTCGGTGGCAGTTCTGAGTTGTAGAAATGTCCATCAACCTATTGACCTGCTGGTAAACTTTATGGTCATGAAACTAAGCAGTTAATCGTCTTTGAAGAAATACTGAAATATTGGATGCCAACACTGGTTGGACTTTGCACAACATTTTTGTATTTTTCCTGTGCAGGAGTCTGATTTGGGATCTGTGGCAGCAGCAGCATCCCAAAACCCCCCACGTCCACACGGGGCCCACGTTGCCTCCAGCTCAGGACCCCCACCAGCCCTCGGAGCAAAACCCAAGAGTGGGGTAAGTCAGGAGCTTGATATCACACATCTTAGTCTCGATCAGCCGACTGCTTAGAGACCAATTAAGACCCCCCTCCCCCCACACAGACACACACACACACACACACACACACACACACACACACACACACATGCAGTCTCACATTATCAACCATGTGAATCACCATTATTTTCTTCTTGGCTTCTTTGCCTCGCCTCTCCATGTTTGCATTTTATATAACTGATGGCCGAGTTTCTGTGTTCGTTGAAGATATGAATGTTTTCTTTTTTATGCTTTTGAAACTACAAAACAGCTGTTTTAGTTGCTGCTGTCTCTCATGTGCATATTTCTTTAGTTGACGCACAGCTACTGTTAAAAAACTTCAAAACCTCAAATAAAACAACCTTTTTCTCCTGGGCGATTGTGGTACAAAAGTTTAAATTAAACTCAGGGCCTAAACACACACACACACACACACACACACACACACACACACTCCCAGTGAATTCCCCAGTTGTAGGAATGTCCCCCAGCACTTAGGGCTTAGCCAAGCAGACGTTAAAACTCTATAATTAGCTGGTTCCAAAGATCTAGACCCCTTCTCCCCAACAAAGGGGTCAGAAGGGGGGTCTGGGGTTGAAAAGCCAGGGCAGGGGGGGGAGGGATGGGGATGGGGGGGGCACGCTTCAAGTGAGACGTGTATCCTAAAAGCTCCCGCTTGCTCACTTTGTCAGCCCCGCTTTGCAAATGCTGTCAGGGCCAAGTGAACGAGGCCGGAACGACGCGTTTGAATGAAAATAATAAAAAATAAGATTTGAACTGCTTTGAAATTCTATCATCAGATGCAGACAAAGGACGTCTTGTTTTTCGAATGTTTCTTATCGGCGTTTCTTAGTGTTTTTCCACCTCACAGCTCTTATGCTAATTTTAAAGGAACTCAATATTTGCCTCCTGCGTAACGGCTACTTTAAGGGATGCAGAGCAACATGCTCACTGATGTGTGAGGTATGATGTCTGCAGCCAACCTCCATTCCTGCAGTAACCCAAGGTAACTCACTAAGCTCGAGTAAACATTGCTTTCACTGCGCCTAATAGGAGGCTTTTTTACAGTGGAAGCCCTGCGGGGTGATTGATGGAGGCCGAAGAGATGATGACTTCATGAAGGGGATTCATAGTGGTTAATAGTTGCAGGGACTGTGGAGCCCTTTTAAACTTAAGTGTTGGGACGGCCACTTAATCTTTTAATCCAGACAATACAAATCCTTTAAATGATGTAAACACAAGGCCGATGTGAGGAAGAGCCGCGGTTGAGGTTTTAATTCTACAGACATAATACTTTTACAAGAAGACGTTTATTTTAAAACAACTAAAATTAACACAACTGAATCATTTCTATCATTTGTTGTAAATAAATACAGCTCTGGGTATGATGTAATATTTGTTTCCCAAATGTTATGGTGGGCATAATGACATCCTTTCTTCTAGCGTTAACCATTACACTGTTCCCCTAACTGCTTTTATAGGTTATACATGGGTTGACTGACTAACCAGACCGGCTCACAACACAGCAATCGACCCTTGCAAACTAGGGATTATTAGTCAATAACCCTCTGACATTGTTGACAAGGCATAACATTTTAAGATTCAGAATACTATTATTTAATGTAGGGCGTTGGAGTATATTAGACTGCTAAATAAAGTCAACTTTTGTACAGTATGTTTCAAAAAATCCTCAACCAGCATCTCTCCCTCCCTTTTCCAGTGAGAGCAAAACCCAGTAACTCTTTCCTCTGAATGTGCAGAGGAGTGTCTTTGCATTCTGATATGTGTTATCTGCGTTTGTGCAGGCAGTGTTAAATGGGTGTTATTGTGTATTTGCATTCCTGCCGTGGTCTGCTGCCTTCTGCAAGAGGTAACCGGTGTCCGCGCTCTTCCTGTCCCGCGGACACCTCCTGGAACTTGGTGTTCTTCGGAGCCATTGTACCGAGCACGTGCCCGCGCTGTTCTGTCTTTTATGTAACAATGATAAACGTGAAGCGGTGGCATGCGGCTGTGCATGTTGGGGATGAGTGGACTTTCACTTCGTATGTACATTGTCTGCCGCTCCCTGTTGTGGATAAAGCACTGGGTTCAAGTGAAAAAGGGTCTTGGGGCCTTGCTAACGTAGCTGAATGGCTATTGTTAGCCGTCAGCAGGTGGCTGTTATTCTTGCATCGAATGTGGGGCTGATATCTGGCGGATGTTGTGCCACAGCAGGTGTTTGTTTTTTTGTTGTGGTGGAACTGGTATTCTTTGCCCCTTATTTTCTTAGTGTAGCAGGTGTCTTGCATGAGACATTGTTTTATGGCAACAGGTGGCTTTAATGTGCTTTACACACTGATGTCTATCTATTTATTTGGCTCTATAATATATTTAGGGCTGCAACTATCGATTAAATGCCAAACAAATAGAAGATGGCTAAAGCCGAAGATAAGGGTCGTCACTCGTCAGTTTACTAACAAAGAAAACCAAGAAAAAGTTAACTCAAGAATATGAAATTGCTTCTATTGGGACGATCATAGTTTATGAGGACCAACTAATTGGTTTTGGTCGTTAATCATCTATAATACATGTTTAAAGTTAAATCTAACAAGATTCAATCTTGTAATAAAGTCTCAAATCCCTCTATTGATGCGACTACACATTCGGACACTATAATAAATCAAATATATCACCCAGCCGTCTCTATTTACATTTTCTTACTCAAGGATTTCCTTCTTTGGTGTAATTATTTCCAATCTTTAGTATAAAACTGTTGCTTTTGTAAAGGATTTCTATTGATGGTCATTGCGGCATTAGCTGTTAGTTATTTGGATTTGTACGCGTAATCTGCAGTAACAAACCTCAGGTATGCGTGGCGTGAGAGCCATTTGTTCCGTGACTCTATTTTTAGGGCTCAGTGGCTGTAGAGGATGTGCCAGGCCACAGAGGCAGGCGGAGGCGGCTGACCCCTGACCACCTTCCTCTCGGTGTTACAGTCGGAAACAACACATCAGTCACTTTGAGCGCACCGCGTTCCGACCAGCGAGACGCGCTCACAATCCGGCGCGCACCTCGGCCACTGAAGAAGGCGCAGGCCGTGGCCGTCTGTTACATTTGCCACGCGAGTGTTTTACGTGCCCAACGCTGCATGGGGACGCTGTCCTAACCCAGCCCTCGTCGCCTTCGGTATACATTCCGTAACCAGGCGACCTTTGACCCTTTGTTTGGATCTGTATTCTGTCCAGACGGCAACGGTGCTACAAACACGCGTTTTGGTTTCTCTGGTTCTTTGGTTGGAGATCTAAGAACGCCAGGTTTCCAATACACAGGATTTTGAGACATGTTCTATTTCGGATTGACGGAATTCCTTTATTCCCTATCGGTTGGTCGTGTATGTATACAGCTCTTTATCTGTCTGTAGTTCAGTGGACAATGGGAGGGCCGCGGTTTGCGTGCTAAGGCCACTAGCAGATCTCTGCTCTGTGCTTCCTCCATGTTCCGGTTTGGCAGCCTCACAGTCCCCAAACATCCTTTATCCAAACCACACCTTCTCTCGCGCCAACACACCGCGGACTCAATGTTGTTCTGCTCTCGCTGCCTTTTATGTATCTCTACACGCTCTCTCATTACCGTAATCCGCGGCCATAGTCGACACCATGGGCACATATTTAGCTTAAAGGCCGTAGTTGGCCACAATGGGGAACCGGACGCCATTGAGTCACGGCCCACGCTAGCCGCTTGGTGCGGCGCCATCGTCCCCCAAGGTCGCTCCTGTGCTGAGCCCAGCTGTGAGAAGGAGACAAACACAGACCTGATGTGGTGTGAAAACAAATATCACAAAGAAAAAATAAAAAGCTTGTGTTGGGAAATGGATGTGAAAAGTTGAGCTTCTCTATGACCCCAAAAAGGAAAATTGGCCTTTTCCTGTTTATTCGAGGTTATAGCTATTAAGCCATAAAGCACTCCTGGAACATTAAAGACAAGGATGTACTGAGGAGAATTCTTGTTTTCCTTTTAATCTCTACTTTTTTAGTTCAGTGAGCTGTGATACCTTGTATTGTTTCACACAAGGTTAAACGTCACATAAATCCGTTTACATTCCTGTGCTCAATGAAAACTCTCTCTCTCTCTTTGTTTTATGACAACATACTGCCAAATAGCCTGAATTTTTTTGTCTTTTTGTTTTTTGTGGCACATCTTAAATGAATCATCGTATCTCATCCACATCACCTGTGCTGTGTTTGTTGCTAAGAGAGGAGCGCACTGAGTCAGTGGAGCGTAACCTACATCTACTACACATGGGAGGCAGTAAAAAGAGCTGCCAATAGTAGCCTGATGATGTACTTGTTGACAGTAAATATTAAGGATGACTGGATTGTGCAGGCATCTGGAAACACCCCTGCAGCCTGCTGATAATGAACCATCGTCAATCAGAGAACGAACAAACAAACTGGATCGACTCTCAGACACACACACACACACACACACACACACGCACATCCAAAGATGCTGAAACATGTAGACAGGAATTCATTGTAAAACCAGCTGCGATAAAACACTGATGCAGGCTGATGATTGAGGGTTTTATTTGCACCGTTCTTACGAGCATGTGTTGACATTTTTGTTTTCTATTCACGTTTGCCTTGAAGGGACATTCGGTCAGCCAATAAACACATGCAAGTGTCGAACAATCAATCATCTTTCTCCTCAGCTGTACTGTTAAAGGAGGGAACGTGGCCTGACCGAGTAGGTTTTTATTTACCAGCAAATAGCCAGACTGTTAATCCTAACTGACCAGCTCAATTTAATGCCCTCAACAGTCAATACCGTGCGTTCTTTTGCAAATGTCACAAAAAAACGTCCGTGACCCGGCAAGGTCTCGCCCACTGGTCCTTCTGGTAAGTCACTAAGCTGGATGTCTGCCATCAAACTACTACATGGGGCCACCAGAGTCTTCTGCAGAGGACAAGCTAATCCCTCTGTGTTGGTAACCCACTCTCTCCTTTCTCCCAAAAATAAAAGCGGCTAATCCACAGGCTAGCATTGTTGGTGCAGTTGGGATCATGAGACTTATCCCTTTTTGACTCCATAAGCCAAAAATTCAACGTGGTGAGCGGGAACAGGTGACACATCATCAATGCAGCGATGTTGGTAGTTCAATTTATTTGAGTAGGTCCTCAATAATTCTTTTTTTGGACAAATTACTGAACTTGTGTTTGATGTTTTATTAATTATGGGTATAATTATGCTTAAATGAATGTATATTGAAAATATATTATATTAAATTTGATTGAACAGTAAGAAAGAGATGATACAGTATACATAAAGATTGATAATATATTCATAATATTACAACCCCGTGTGTTTTTGTCATCTATTTCGCAACATATTATCTTGCATGTTTAAAACCACTTGTGGATAACAACTTAGCCAAGTTGATTATGTCACTTAATTCAGCTGAATTGAAAAACCGCATCCTGCCACAAAGCCCTTCCTGGATGTTGATAATAGCTTTGTTTGTTTTTTGGCCATGATAAATCAGAGGAAGGTTTGTACACTTTGTCTACCAAACACTAGAACATTACAAGGTTAACGATAAAATGATGTTTAGTTTATGCTCATGCTGTACTTTGAAATATGCACAGTTAGATCATGTTTATAAAACCATTGGAATTGAAAAACTATGTATTATTGACCCACTAGCTGCAGTTGTTATTCTGATAAATTGACCCACTGTTTTTTAAAATTATTTATTATTGGCTGCAGCTCGTGTCTATTGAAGTTGACCATGAAGTTACACATTATAAAGTTGAACAGTTTTGGTATAAGGTATCACCTAATCTTGGCGGTGAGCGTTTATTTTGCCTTTTAGTAGGCAGAGTCTTATGCTCACACTACTGTTTTTCGGTGGTGGATTCCAAGGGTCAGTCAACAGTTCACAGTTTATGCTCCGGAGGCCCACCAGACCCTGCCTGAAACCAGAAGCCTGTTGCTTTGGCTTACTCTGGTAAACAAAGACAAGTGTGTGTATGTATCTGTCTCTGTGTGTGTGTCTGTGTGCGCACGCATATCCACCTTCCTCACTATCTTTCAACCACCATCATTCCGCACAGAACATGTCTCATGGTTTTCGGTTGAGTGAGAGAACGAGGTCTCGGCCGGCGATCCGACAGCGTGTGTGTGTGTGTGTGTGTGATTGAGTACACGGTGGGTGTGGTGAAATCAATAATTGAATACTAAGTCTAACTGAAGACTGCGTGTGATTTCACCTGGCCTTTAGGATCGTACAAGTCGGTGGACGTTACCGAGTCATCTGGAGTCGTTCTCTTTTGAAACGGCTGTAAAGTCCAACATCTGGACGCTAATATATATTTTCAGCGGGAAACGTTCCAACGCATCATTACGCCGAGTCATCGCGTTGCTTCCTGTTGACACACTTGAAGTGTGACATGTGGAAACTATTTAATGCAGAAAGGGGACGCAGGGGAGAAAGTATGAGGGAGAGGACCCGGGGGGGGGGTTGGTTTTTCCTCAAGTAGGAGGCCGAAATGAAATTGTTTCCCACGTTTCCCTGCACTCAGAGGTTGTCGGAGCATGGAGAATAAATTCTTTTATAAGTACAATGCTGCAAGAGCACATTCACGCCAGTCAAAAACCCAGAAATGAGCCGCAGATAACATCTCGACAGACGTGCCCATGCACTCACAGACACACACACACACACACACACACACACACACAGACACACACACAGCTACCTTTATATGCTCAGTGCCGGAGCCGCTAGCTTACCTGACCATAATCCATCTGCACCAATTTAGCCATTTGCAGTTAAGTGGTGGAGAAAAAGGTTTGGGTTAGCTTGAGCCCCCTAATCCTTGGTCTGCACAGACCATGGGTGGTCACACACATACGCAGGCGCACACACACAGGCACACACACACACTCTTGCTGCAGCTGCAGTGCAGGAGGGGGGCTGGGGACGAGGGGGTGGCGGTGGGGTCGAGAGGCATGGTGGACCGCTTGGGTTTGTTGCGCAAGAAGCCACATGTCAATCGTTTGCTTTACGTGTCTGAGTAACGCACTCGCACAGAAAAGCGTGTGAACACAGCTGTGCAAAATGGGTTTAGTATTGAAAAAAAAAGTAGTAGTGAGCTTCAAAATGTGTTTATTTATTATTGGATCGAATACTCCCATATTTGTTAATTTTTGAATCCCGTCACTTTTTTTCCTGAACATTATTGTAATTTTATAGAATAGATTCCACAGTTAAAGAAATGGCAAATATGTCAGGCTGAATTTGCGGGAAATGTGTCTTAAATGAGGAGCAAAATAGCTTCTATTTGATTGTTTTCAATGGAAACATTAAGTCTTGGATTTACACAAAGACGCAGCGGCTTTAGTATAACTATTTTTTGTGTGGATGGCTTTTAGACACCTGGATATAAAATAATCCCGGCCACACACCGTCAACAGCTAACTAACTGACTTCTTCTGTTGGTATTTGGTAATTTTTTTGTTAAAAACTGGCTTACTTCCTGCTACAGTAATGACTATAATGACCTCCATCGTGCTTAATCGCGCAGGCAAACATTCTTGCAAGCCACGACAGACACACACACACACACACACACACACATAGAGACACGTGTAAAGCAAACACATACCATACCCCCCTGCACCCCCCGCACCACCCACTTCCAGTAAATTAGTGGCGGTAAATGAGGCAGCTGACACTTGTCTTGTGCGCTCTGCAGCCTACAGCTCCCCGGTGGACACCTGACACGGCCCCGGACGAACCCGCACCGTGGCGGGCCAGGGAAAACACTGGTACTCGCTGGTACCCATTCATTCACATTCTCGTTGGGCTCGGGAGGGGGGGGGGGTCTTTCTCGCTCACCTTTTATTCAACCGTAATGGCAAAAACACAGCACCGCGTGAAGGTGGGATTTACACTGTGCGCGAGTGACTTCATGGGTCACTGACAGGAACCCGTGGTGTGGTGTTTACACAATAGGAAGGGCACACACCGGTGAACTGAAATGTCTTGTTAGTGCCGAGCAGAGGAGCCACGCAGACCTCCCATATTGATCCAATTATTCAAGGCCATTCATTGCGTAAGTTGTAGGTGCTTATTAAATATACAGAACGTTGACGACATAGTTAGGCTTTTCTTCATTTTAACTCCATTGTGCTTCTGCATACCAGGGTAAACTTTTGGCACACATGTAGGATTCTATGTTTGAATTGAAGGATGAGGCTGTTTATTCTTAAACGGATCTAGTCCCCAAAAAGGTAAGAAAAGTTAGAGAAGAGAAGAAAGTGGTGGAAATATACTGCATCTAACGCGCTGGCAGTTTACATGCAATAGATAAATAGGCCTAAACCAAACAGGTTCACACTATCTACACTGCAGGGAATGCAGCAAGGACACTTCTGTGGCTGAAAAAGCAGAGCTAATATTACTCGGGAGTCCGACAGCTGAAACAGCACTCAGTATAAATCTATCTCTGATTTCACCTCACTGTTGTTGTTCTGTTTGTGCCGGTGATTTAGTGGCAGAGCAGTGAGTACAGTTTTTGTCTTTAGCTTCTCCCAGGTGTCTTTTTAGGTCATTACTCAGCAATAAATTAGAAAGCCCCACAGGGAATTATAACCCCCTCCGTGTCTGGACCTTGACCCATAAAGTGATTAAATGCTGTTTTTGCCCACACATTGTGCACAAATAACGTCACATGTTCACACACTGGTATACCCGTACACACAGACACACCACGGCAGATTCACCGCATAAGCCCACCTTTCATGGTCGGGAGAACTCACGTGGCGATGACTCCAGGAACGTCCCCAGCATAATTAAAGACAGATTTAACCTGTAGTAATACATCATTTCACAGCTTCACAGTTGCTGGGCGGTGTATTTTGTAAAGGAGCGAAGCCAGCTTTGGCATGTTTTATAAGTGTTCCTTTGAGATGATAGTCGGTGTGGCTGAGGATGTGCTGAATCTGTCGTTTAAGTAGGTGCTAAAGGGTAAACAGGCTTTAGAGTAGTCACAGCGGGACGCAGCTACATCACTTTAATTAGGTCTGACGGGAGAGACAAATCCCACTGGAAGAGTAGAAATATCAGGAGGAAAAGTAGATATTCACACATTTTGCACACCAAAGGTTGTCTGGACAAAGTGGATGAGCTGCAATCGCGTATGTACCGCGTCCTGCTTTTCCTGTCTGATCCGGTCCTGGGAAGTGTGGATTAAAACAGGTCAGGGTGTGGAGGTCTGCCATGGAGCCCGAGGTCAAAAGTCAGGGGCAAGAACGACCTCCGCATTCCGATTGACTGCTGCCCTGCACACACACACACACACACACACACACACATAAACACAGACGAACACATACACAGAGAAAGACAGAAAATACGATAAAACACTCCATTTTTACCAGACACCCTGTTTCAACTCAGTTATATTTTGTAATACCCACAAAATAGCCAAAAAAGGAAATGATATTCGCGCTGAATGACGAGACTCTCCTACGGCTACAAAATGGGTTGCATATTATTCCGTAAATTCTTTGGTAGATAAGAGTTGGATCAACATTGAATGTGAGGAGCGTGAACTGAGCGCTCTCGCTTTCAAAGATGTTCTACTTGTTCACACGTCCAGTTAGACCAGGACCAAGTGTGCAACGTCTGCACTGTTCAACTTGACTTGATTTAAAAATCATGCTGTTAAAATAGTTTTATCAGCATTGTGCAATTGTTTGCAAGGGTCATTATACACAATTGGACAGGAAATGCACACGGACAAATATATTCTGCTGCTCATAGATCAGAAGATGTCTGTCGATTACAGGGAGATCGGAATCACAGCAGAACGGAACAGAGCGTCACCGCACTGCAAGAATACTAGTATTCAATGTTCCCAGCCGTATGCTTTTTTCTCATTTTAGCACGGAAACCAAACTGTGAGATGTCCGTCCATCAAGGGGTTTTACTGAAAATTGATACAGCTGATTTTGACTATGCATTTTTTTCTGTTCTCTTTCCCAGAGCACCTCTACCATTCCTGTGACAGAAAAAGCTGGTGAGTTCCTCGCTGTTTTTCGTTTTGAAATTCTCATGTTCATGTTCAGTTAACTCAGAGACCACCAGGCTCAAAGTAAAAGGCTGCGATTTGGTCCGACTTCTTGTTCACTATTTCATCACATGTCCTTGGTTTGATCTGGACCACGTCGGATCTGGTGTCACGGGAGAAGATTCTATGGGACAATCTCTCATTGATAATCTTGCCCGGTGTTCACGGGAGGGGGAGGAGGGAGGGAGGGAGGGAGGCATTGAGCGGAGGAGGACATGCTGTGTTCCTATGAGGCACTGGATGAGAATGTAGATAAGATCCTAGACTCATCTACACAACCATCTAGCCAGTCGCCTTCCCAAGATAAGAGCCAGACTGGATGTCGTGAAAGACGGCAAACACTTTTGACCTGCATTTATTTGCCTTTTGCCACTGCATTGTACTCGCCTTCCTGATAAGATATTTCTGTGATCAAAAACACATTCTGATATAGAAAGCAACAAAGAGCAGACAGCTGAAAGCCCGGCATATCTAAATCCATACATATACACGCCCTGGCACATGACTGGACCTGCGTAGGGTTTGTTGGTCCTCAACTATCGATCTTTTTCATCACTTTTCATCACTTTTCCAAGCGTGCCGTTGTTCTCTTTGCACAACTGTTACTATTAATCGATCTCTAGAACAAACTTGATTAGTCATAAGCGCCCCCCCCCCCTGGCTCCGACCTCTCTGTCTGCCGGTAATGCACAGCGTCATCAGGAAACTACGGATGGACAGACGCGCTTTCAGACAGCCGGCGGGAGTAGTGTTCATTAAACACCCCCCTGTGTCGTCAAACAATGCTAGGGAGGTATTTCGCCGTGGAGAAGAGGCTTTCGTATCCCCCCGCTGTCTAAAGCCTGCTGGAAGTCCTCACTCACTTTCACTCCGTCTCTCACTCTAATTACCGAAAGCCTTTCATGGAAAATGTGCAGAAGCTGTCAGTGTGTTTGTGTGTGTGTGTGTGTGTGTGTGTGTGTGTGTGTGTGTGTGTGTGTGTGTGTGTGTGTGTGTGTGTGTGTGTGCATTTGTGAGCACTGCATTTTGGCGTGAATGTAAACTTCTAAAAGGAAGCTCGACGCTTGACGAGTTGCACGGCGGCAACTTCAAAAGGGGTCATTTTGGTCCTTGGTCATTTTTCCTCCTTTAAATCATTCTGACTTCCTATAAGCGAGTTATGCAACCTCCATCTCCGGCGTCCCGCGTGATGGAGCGCAGGACGCCGGAGGGAGGGTGGGGCTACGATTGGGAATTGGCAAAGTTTTGAGGGGGGGGGGGGAACTTGATGGAGCACAAAGCCCAGTGTTCATTGTGACACTTCAAAGCCCCCCTCTGTATCTCCACCAGCTCGGCCCCTGGGAAGGACACATTTGTGACAGTGTTACATCACACACGGTGCCCTAAAGGCTGCTGCTGCTGCATGAAAGAAACCTCATTCATGGTTAATTTTACTCTCTCTGTGAAACCAGAAGCACACCAGTGATCAACAAGACGTTTCCGAAGCTCGGCCTTTGTGGCGGCTCCGTTGATGACCCCCCTCCCCGACCCCCCACCCGCGGCGCCGAAAGAACCTCGGTGAGCCGTCGGTGTCGCGGCTTTCCTGCGCACAAAGAGGATGTGCAGTTACAACTCGCAACCTGTTGTTGTGATGTGATCTTCATGGGGGCTCCTTTGATGCCGCATAGTCGGAGCCTTGTGATCCGCGGGGGGCCACGCAGAGTGCATCTGCAGCGGGGAAAGGCGATGGCATAACTTGTACCATGCCGACCATCTGGGGAGGATCGGGCCCGTCATGCAGAAGTCGCTGCGTGACGGCCCTTCTCATCGGTTAGGCACGGTCGATGAGATGATCCTTGTGATGTGAGGGGAGATGTGATTTATGTGTTTAGTCTTTTTAATCAAACTCCCAGGAGCACTGAAGTGGGATTTAAGGAAAGGCCACAATAAATCGACGTAGTGCTGTCAGTATTAGTTACTGCTATTTTTAAGCCTCACTGTGAATTACCTTTTGAGACGAAGCCATTATAAGCTTTTTATCTGAACTTTCATTGTATGACGTACGGGATAAAAGGGAATGTGTTTCACATTATGAATGGTATTGTCTGCTCATACAATATGAATATGATTTTTGAAATTGTATAGAGGTTATTTACTTGCTAGGCTTCTCAGTATCTCTGTACTCTAAAACCATGGCTGTTGATAATGAGGAAACAAACAATGGTTGAAATCTAAAATTAGTTTTGCAAAAGAATATTTGTGAGAAAGACCGCATGAATCCATTCATCATTCAGTTAAGTGTGATTCTGGGATGCACATTAACTGTGGTATGAGATTGATTCACATGAAAGTCTTTTGTGTTTTACAAAAACACAAGTCATCCAGCTTATCTTCAGAGGCAGCTTGTTTAGCTGTGCAACCTCACATCCTCTGATACAGGAAGCTAACAGGTTTACCTTGTGTGAGTGACAGATTAAGGACAAATTAAGAGGCAAGATGCTATGCTGGATAAGATGCGGGGATTTAGATATTTACCATCTGGTTAGTTTATTTGAAAGTGCTCTCGTTGTTTTTCACTGTGCAGCCTCATTCTGGTAAACAGTTATCCTCCTATTTCTCAATAATTTACGACCAAACAATTGGCCCATTGGATCCCCAGTAGGCCTACTCCTCAAATTGAGCTGGTGAAGTGTGGTGGTTGAAGGTCGGTGGGGTAAAGCATTCAGTGTTAGGAGCTTTAAGACGGGATGAATGGGATGAAAGCAGCCACTGTGAAGTGAGCGATGCACAGGTTAGAGCCCCCATGTCTCGCCTTCCTTATCTTTATTACATTATCTAAATATAAACCGGTGGGAATACGTAGGCAGAACACAATGATGGGCCTCCGACCAGCAGTATAGCACCAAGCCCGACTTTTCACCTGTGACCAGAGCCACATAGTCTCCTGCAGTTGCCTCGGTTGTAGAGGGGAGGGAAGGATAACTGAGGAAAGAGGAAGTGGTTTAGCACCCTGAGTGCAGTCTTGTCGGGAGGCAGCACGCTGACATTTAGGAGTTGCCATTTCCTGTGAATAACACGTCTCATCATTTCTGCCTGCTTCTCCTTTTGGTTTCCTTCTCTCTTTTCGTTCGTGGCTTCTATTCTGGTCACCGTGCTTCCCTACTTGGAAATCCCGGGACAAAACATGTACAAGTTGATTCTGTAAACGGAGCTGTTTTTTTTTTTACTGTTCCAATAAACAAAATATCACTTGACCTAAGTGTTGACCTCTGGGGATTTCAGTATTTATTATCATATTATTATGCAGTTTGAAAAGTTCCCTCATGCATCCGCTTGACCGTCGAAAATGGAGACAACACCAATCTGTGTATTTAACCCAAATTGTTTCTTTTGAAATCACTTCACTTTTAAAGTTCATGGGAAATACTCATATTACTAATGCTATTACTTTGCTGGGTGGTTGAATACCACTAGCAGTGGAGGTAGAGACAGCCATATATTAACTTAGCATAGTATTAGAAAATGATCACGGATTAACAGATCGACTTTATCAAAAGAAAAGAATTGTCTACCAGCAGCAGTCTACTTCACTTCCACAATAAACAAACCTTTATTGTGAAATCCTTTAACAAACAAAAAAGTAGAATACATGGTGCGAGTTGCCCCTCTCTTCCACACTTTATGCTGGCATACATGAGAGTGGTAATAATCATCTCATTTGATGCTGCAGTATTTTTTTCCATTTAATATTACATTTAAAAAAAGAAATTTGCCATATCTGCTATTATTGACAGTCTTGGTTACCAAGGTAAACAGAAAACACAGTCCTCTCAGACACACGGGCTCTGAGAATCCCTTTTCCACCACAGATCTTGTGATTGACCTTCATGACTCTAACAGTGCTCGACACATTTCCACACAGATCCCTGTTTGACTTGCTTTCCTCATTTGTGACCCGTGCTACTTGCTGCTTGTTTAGACCCTGCAGCAACATGCTCTTTGACGACATTGCTCTCATCCGAGAAGGAGCTCTGACTGATGTAATGGAGTGGAATGGAATGGAATGCCCACAGCCGTCAGTAACAGCTCATGACTGATTTATTTTAGTTTTTTGGTTACTTGGTACCTACTCTTGTGTTGTGTCGCCTTAGCTCACTTTTAGCCGCCCCTCCATACACAGTGCCGGAGCTGCTGCGCTTGTGCAAGGTCACATTCCCCCCCCCCGTCAGTCTCCGCCAGCCTCAACACCTCCCCTCGATCAGCACCTCCTCTCCCCTCCCATTTGACACGCTTCCTGTGTAGAGACTGGAACTGTACTCTAACACATTGGAGTTCATTCCCTTTAATGTTTCACACTTCCACGCTGTGAAAACATTTGCAATTGAACTGCTCCTCTGACACTTTATGCTTCATCTCGGTCAAAGATATAACGGGTATACGTGATATTTTGGAGTTTTAACACGTTCGATCTTGTATACGTTGTTTTGTTGTTGCGTCTGTGCATTCAGACTTAATCTATAAGTAAGTAATAAGTACCGTTATTGCAATTTTCCTTGAAAAGAACCCAACATCTGCTTGACCGAATGGAGACAACATCAATCTGTGAACCTAACCCAAATTGTCACTTCACTTTTAAAGTTAATTTTGGGAAATACTTACATTACTACTTGAGTGGTTGAATATCACTAGCAATGGAGGTAGAGCCACCCATATATTGGATTAGCATAGTATAAAAACTGATCACGAATTAAGATTGTCTACCAGCACCAGTCTAATTAACTAATTAACCAAAATAAACTTGCCAAAATTCGTTAACAAACAGAAATGTGGAATAAATGGTGCAAGTCATGCAAGCCGAGGCCTTCATTCTTCCTCCAGGTTTATTGTTCCACAGACAGGGATCTGACCGAAGGAGTAAGACCTCGAGCCGAGGGTCACATCAAAGGGACTCACACACAATCACACTCGGG